CCCCCAGCTCTGTGGTGCTGCCGTTCTCTTCTTTCTCTCTTCACGACGTTACACTACACTACAAACCTCGAAGTATCGTTTCTCTCTCTCTCTCTTGGTTTCAAAGTCTCGCGAATCGATTTTGTTCCTACTACCGAACTTTACACTACACTACGACTCAAGAACTCAAGATTATTCGTCTTCGATCATCGATCATCGATCATCAAGTTTTTTTTCTGTCATAGACAGACACGATATCTCGACGGACATAACACTCAGATATCTTCTTTAAGTAGAGAGAGGTAAGCAAGAACCTGACTGGCACTACCCAACTACCCATTCACAGTTCGTGATAGCTTCAACCTTTTGAAACCTTTGCTTTACGGCTGTGACCTATTGATTGATTTTGGTTTTTTTTCACCTGCAGGAAACCTTGTGAATCCATTCCCTTCCCTTTTCAGGTTTTCACAGCTTGTCTTGTTGATTGAATGTCCCCAGCTTAATTAATGCCACTCGTTTTTTTGCCCATCACCATTTGCTATCGTCGTGTGCGTTCACTGTGATTTGTTTTTTTTTTTTTTTTTTTTGATAATGATTTTCTCCTTTTGCTTTCCATGTCTTTTATTGTCGAGTCAAGTGTCGTCGACCTGTGATCGGTTTTCTCGCAACAATTGAACCGATCCGTCCCCTAATTCCACCCGGATGAACGGAGGATTGTTGTCTTCATACTTACATGCGGATGATACATCACCCCCCTTATTCATCTGACGACAACGACGGCGAGGACGATGACGGTGAGAAGGGCACGCTTGTTGTTGATTAACTTGATGCCCTGATCGGAAGTTGTCTTTTCATCGCCATCGTCGCCTCTGCCGCCGTTATTCCTGTCCCTTGCTTGGGCTTGCCTTCGTTGTTAGTTTCTTGTTTTTTTTGCTTTGGTGATCAGTTCTTCTTTCGCACTTTTTTTCTTGCTGCTAGTACCACCAACACCTCACTTTCCGTCTCTAGCTCAGGTTGCTAACGTTTGATATTTTCATCTTTCTTTACAGATATTGAAATCATTGCCATCATGGTTAAGAAAAAGCAGGAAGAAGTGCCCCCCGAACAGGAGGCCGCACAACTTGCATTGCTTTACGAGTACCGTAAAAAATGGGACAATGTCTCGCCCGAGGAAAAGGCCAGACAGGCCGCGGAAGACGCTGAGCGGTTGGAGAACGAGATAGCCGCCGCTAAGATCATAGAGGAGAAAAAAGCGGCCAAAGCATTGCAAACGGCCACCAACGTAGCGGCGCGCAAGGCAAAGCAAGCCGAGGCGGCGGCTAGGCGGGAAGAGAGGGAGAGGAAGCGAAAGCGGGAAGACGAGGTTGGCTCGGGAAGCAGTACATCCGCCGAGAATCCGGAGGACCCTTCTCCCGCCTCTAAGAGGCGAGGAAGACCGCTGGGCAGTAAGAATCGGCCCAAGGTCGTACCCTCTCAAGGCCCTTCGCTCGTCAACCAGGGGCAGCAAGGTGACGCCAACAATCACGCGGGCACTGACACCTCCACCGACCCCATCATCATTCCTCCGAGCCCGCAACCTCCGCAGAAGAGAAAGCGTGGAAGGCCTCCCAAGAATCAGGCCAAGGCTGGGCAACAGGAGCTGACGCCGCCCCTCACCCCTCCGCCCGTCAACCATGTACAGCAGGGCAACAATGCTCACAACCCCACGGGCATCGCCCTTGACCCCATTCCTCTCTTCCCACCGGGCCACCGGGAAGTTATCGAGCGGGAGTTTTTCTACCCAGAGCCTGAACAAGAGAGAGGACCGCAACTCCCGCTCGATAACTTCCCGACGGCCCGGTGGGAAGAGTCATGGCAACAACAGCAGGGTAACAATGTTTACAACCCCACGGCCATCTCCCTCGACCCCAATGCTCTTTTCTACCAAGAGCCTGAGAGGGGACCGCAAGTCCCTCTCGATTACTTCCAGGCGGCGGCGCAGTCGAAAGCATCATGGCAACAACAACAACAACAACAGCCTGCCTACTACGCCCAAGATCAGGCTCAGAGCGAGCCTGTGCCCTGTGGAAGCGAGGAAAAGGCTGAAGAAGAAGACAGCGGAGCTGGATGGTTGGACATGGGCGGGGACGATGCCTATTGGGGCGAGCTGCTTAGGCCCGTCGAGGAATATGGTAGCGTGGAGATGGACGTGAATACGGACAGTTTGCTCGCGGGTTTTGAGAACCCCGAGGGATATGGTGGCATGTAAATGGTTAGCCATTGGAGAGCTTAAAGGAGAGAGAGAGAGAGAGGAACCATGGTTAGACAGGGGAGAAAGACTACTACCTACCTTTCATCCGATGTCAACCATCAGCCTCAACACCCAGCTCCATCCCAACATCACCACCCGAATCACTTCTCACCACCTCCTCACCTTCAACTCACTTTGACCTCAACACCATTTTCCATCATCGACCTTGCCGCCGGGCTCCACGCAAAATTTCTGCACAGGGCACATAGGGCACACACAATTTCTTTTGGCTTTTCCATTTAAGCCCGGCCCCCGACCCCTCCTCTCTTCTCCCAAACTTCTTGCTCGCTTCATCCATCACCACACCACACCACCCACTTGGACACCCAAACTCGACCATCACCCAACAACCATCTCGACTCTTCCACCACCAGCAACTCAATCGCCCTTTTTCAATCTTCGCATTGAATTCCACAAGTATTTTCCTCTCATTTCAACATTCTCTCCATCCATCCACCCAATCTTCTCGTCGCAATTTCTCCTTCACTCACCTCAACTTGCCCACCACTTGCGACACTTGCGACAACCGCTCAACACTCTCACTGCAATGCAGCACAATCAGCAGCATCCCCAGCAATTCAATCATCACGGCCAACAGCATCAGCAGGGCCATCAATTCCCTCCTCAGCATCAGCGGCTCGGAGGTCACCAGCAGCAACCTCAGAGCTTCAACATGATGCAGCCTGCCCCTGGTAACTACCATCCCCAAATGCAGATGCAGATGCAGATGCCTCCTTCACAGGCCCCGTACCCTGGCGGACCGCCGCGTCGTCCCCGCATCTTTGCGCAGTCGTTCAACCAGGAGAACAATCTGCCTCAGCAGCAGTTCTTCGGACAGCCTCAGTCGCAGTCGCAAGCTCCTCAGCAGCACTTTGGACAGCAGTCGCGGTCGCAAGTTGCCCATCCTCAGCAACAGCGTGGTCAAGTCTTCAACAACCACCCTCAGCAAGCCATGCATCATCAGCAGGCTATGCGGCCTCAGCAAGCTCAAACTCCCCAGCAGCACAATGGTCAAGTCTTCCACCGTACCCCTCAGCAGTCGCCGTCGCCGTCGCAAGTTGCTCCCCAGCAGCACTTCGGCCAGCAGTCGCAGTCGCAAGTCCATCCTCAACAGCAGAATGGTCAAGTCTTCAACCACCCTCGGCAAGCCCAAGCTCCTCAGCAGCAGCAGCAGCGCTTCCATCACCCCCAGCAGCAGGCTATGCACCCCCAGCAGCAAGCCATGTTTCATCAGGCGCAGGCGCAGATGAACTTCCAGCAGCAGCAGCGGCAGCAGCAGGGCGTTGCCGCTGACCCTAACCTCACCTCCAACGATCCCATGATGAAGTTCAACCTCAATGCCCAACAGCAGCTATTGAGTACCCCTGGCAATTAGGAGAATGCTTTCGGTACTTCAAACAGCTCGCTGGGCAGCGACTCGAACATTGATAACTTTGACCTTGGCGACTTCGAGGTCGACAACGTTGACTTCGGTGACGCTGATCTGAGCAACTTTGACTTCAACGATTTTGGCGGCGGCAATCTCCAGGGTCAGCAGCAGCAGTCGCAGAACGTCATCTCTCAGAATGCCGTCAATTGGCCATCCGAGAATTTGGTCCAGAGCCAGGCGTCGCATGCTGCGAACCATGGTCGCAACAATTCGTTAGTGTCCTTGATGACTCCGAGCCCGTCTGTCGATAACTCGTATGGTGGTGCTTTCGTCAATTCCTCTCCTGCCGACAATTCCTTCAACACTTCCATCACCACTCCCGCAGCGACTCCGAAGAATTCTTTCTGCAGCTTTTCTCCTGCCAACAATGTTCACAACTCCCCGAACACCAGTCCTGTCGCCGAGTCGTCTAACTCATCTGCCGACTTTCCCGTTGATGACCCCTTCAATAATCAGCCGTCGCAAGTTGCCAACCATAGCCGTGCCAACTCGTCAGTGGCTTTGACTCCCCCTCATCCTCCTGCCGACAACTCGTATGGCCAGGCCGGCGACAATAACGTCAGTCTCGATCAGGCCTTGCTCGACGCCTTCAACAACAGTCCCGAGTTGCCCAGCTCTTTCACCAATGATGCCTCTTCCAACTCTCCCGGCCAGGCTTCTCACAACTCTGCCAACACCAATACCGTCGCGGATGCGCCCAACACTTCCACCGACAGTGCCGCAGAGGACTTCTCAGCTGGCTCTCCCTCGGGAAATACACTCAACTCTTTTGACTCCGCTCCCGTCCAGGACTCCTCAGCTGGCTTTGATGTCCAAGTTGCCGACAACAACTTTAGTGACAACAACTTGGGTGACTTGTCGGGATCTTTTGTTCCTGCGAGCGAGAACCAACATAGCCTGGTTGATCTCACAGATGACAACGTCGCCTTTGGCCAGGGAATGCAGATTGCCAACAATGGCCAGGTCGATCCCTTCACCTCATTTGCCTCGCCAGCTGAGAATCACCAGCAGCAGGCTTTCAACTTCGCACAAGAGCACCAGTTCAATGCACACCAGCAGCAAGCCTTCTTCAACGCACCGGGTGTTCAGTCTGACCAGCAATACGGCTCGCCTCAGATCCCTAGCAACCCATTGCCTGCTGAACAAACCCCCACTCCCGCGGCCAAGACGTCGACCAGGAAGAAGGCAGCTTTGCCCAAGAAGCCTGCCGCCAAGCGTCCTGCTGCAAAGCGAACGAGAAAGACCAAGGCTCCTGCTAACAACGAGCCGTCTGAGGATGTTGACGATGGTGCTATCGGCGATGCGGACGACAACGAGTATCTCTGGGGAGCTGAGCTTCAACCCAATGAGTATTCGTATGATCTCGATGACTCCCTTCGCACCTTTAGCGATTCGGTTCCCCAGAGGAATGTATCCACCATGAACGGTAATCTGCCGCTGCCTGCTCTTGCTGACAATGGCATCGCTCCTGCCAACGAGTTTATCGCGCCCGCCAATAATTTCGAGAACGGCACTCTTATCGCGCCCCATCCAGGCAACACTTACATTGCTCCTGCCAGCAATGGCATCGAGAACGATCCTATCGCCCAAGTGCTCGACCGGTTCAACGAGGAACAAGCCCGACTCCAGGCCATGGCGCAGCAGACTCAACAGGTAAGCATCGCAATTTCCCACATCCTCGACAGGTTGACCAACACAGACCAGAAACCGCAATTGACCATCGATGTGAACCTTCAGGCCCCGGCCAGGAGCCCTCCCAACAAGCGAAAGCGTGGCAACACGGCTAGCACACCAGCCGTCCAGGAAACCGCCCCGGCGCCCAAGAGGAGAAGAGTCGCGAAACCGAGGGCCAAGGCGAAGGGCAGTCTGTCCAAGTCGGCCTCCTCCGCCAAGTTCGGTCTCGGCAAGGGCGCAGGTACCGGTCTGAACTCCCCCAGGACCATGTACGTCTTTGACGAGAAAGCCTTCTACTTGATCCCCGCCAGTATCATGCCGGCCTTCCTCAATTTCGTCAATACCCCCATAGAGAGACCGATCGAACAGCAACCACCTGCTCCTGTCAATGCGTCCGAGTCGTCCTCCGCCAGCAACAGCAACAACACCAACACTACCAACACCTATTGCCCCAAAACGGACAAGAACGATAAGAAACAAACTTCCACTGACAAGACCCTCAGATAGCATGGACTGCAACCTCTCTGAACAAGAACGATAAGAAACAAACTTCCACTGACAAGACCCTCAGATAGCATGGACTGCAACCTCTCTGACAACACAACAACAACAACAACAACAGCCTGTCGTTCAGCAGCAGGATTTCTCTCAGCAACAGCCTGCTCCTGTTGAGCAGCAGTTCTCCACCGAGCAACAGCAGTCTTTCGATCAACAGCTGCCTGCTCCTGTTTTGCAACAGGATACATTCCAACAGGATGACTGGGAGCCTGCATACGACGTCGAGGGTCGCCTCCTCACCCTGCTCCAAGACGACGAAGCCAACGAGCAAAACATGTGGAATGATGACGACGCTTCCCCCTCGTCTCTCCGTCAACCCGTCCCCCTAAGCGAAGCAGCGATCGCGTTTGGCATCACCAACCCCTCGACCTTACACAGCCAGGCGTCCACGTCGCCTGTTCAAAACCCACCGCATGCCTCCTCGTCACCTGCCCCTGCCCCTCCTGCCTTTGGCCCTGGATCCGAGTTCCCATTTTCCCGAAAGCCAAAGCCCTTCGGCAGCGACCTCGACAAAAACGGCGCCGTCATCCTCGACCCGAACCCCGAGCGCAGCTACCGTAGTGTGCCTAACAACCGCGAGATCATCGAGAAGTTCAGCTTGGCTCCGATAGGCCGCGGCACCGAGCGCGACGTGAGCCATCTCGACTACTTTATCGACCTGGCCCGCCGCAGCGGCTTGCTCACTTGCGGCGGCGATCACGAGGAGATCCCCGGCGCTTTCCGCTGGGAGTCGTGGAAGACTGCCGAGGAGAATCTGCTAGCGCTGCGTCCGTTTCTGGGCACTTATAGCACCAGGGATTGGTTCACTCAGTGGGAGGCAAAGGAGAACCCGATTCAGATTGCTGAGCGGGAGGAGGAGGATGTGTAGGTGGTTGGTTTTGGAGCTTGAACTTGAGAGAGAGGTGAAGCGATTTCTGTTCTGCGATGGAGGGTGGAAGAAGAGTGTCTCCGGTCAAGCACTAGAAGGATTGACGACTGATAGACGTCAGTGTTCCACAACAAATTACCAACACAACAACAAACAAGTAGTTTGATCTGATGTGCCAGCCACACAAAGCATTGGCAGACACTGTCAGTTGACAAGGATCAACAAACAACAAGTCGGCAAACAACAGATCTACAAACAGCGCAACCGTTTAAAACAGACACGGTTTCTCCTTTTCATTACTTGCTTTCACCAACCTCTCACGAACCTTCTTCATGATCGGCATGTTGTTGAATACAACAACAGCAACAGCAGAGAAAAGATTCATGACAACAGGCAGGACCTTTGTCACTTTGGTTCGGACAGGCTTTTTCTTTACACATTGCGCATTTGGCATGGCACTTGGCACTTGGAAGGAGTTTTGGGGAAGAAATGATACCCAGAGATACCCATGATGCATTTTCAGGCGCTTTTTTTTCAGTTTCTTTCTTTGGGTTCTTTGGCAGGGATTCGGGGATACACGGATATGAGTGAAGGGATACAATGGCTACGATTTTATGAGGTAACGAGGTAACGAGGTTATGAGGTTATGAGGTTATGAGGTTATGAGGTTATGAGGTTATGAGGTTATGAGGTTATGAGGTTATGAGGTTATGAGGTTATGAGGTTATGAGGTTATGAGGTTATGAGGTTACGAGGTTATGATCATATGATAGAGCTTACGAGCATACATATGAAGGATATGATACATGATCGATATGATTTTCTCTTAGAGAATTTTGCTAGGTGCTCTTCTTCTCAAGCATTATCAACTTCCTACAATCGAAGTTGGGGTTGTTTTATGGATGCGCAAGAGTAGGGTAGGGTAGGATAGCCAGCCCTCAGCGGATTTTAGAGGCAGATCATATCATGGATATGGTTCGGTTCGGAAATAGTTATTAGTTGAGGGAAGTCATTCAAATTGCACATATGCGCAGCTTCGTGAAGTGATGTGTGCGCGTGTGTGCTTGCTTGAGATGTCCATCTTTGCGTGAGGATCCAGCGAGACTTGGCTCCAGCCGTGGCTGTATTTGGGAGATACCTGTGTCTCTCAATGTTTCGATGGCTGAGTATCTTCCTGCTCCTCACAATCCCATATCTCTATCCTCTATCCTCTATTCTCCTCCCAATGCCTCTCCTCCAGTACATATACTCCCGTCCTTAGTACCTGCCTGCTCTTATCCCCGCGATCCCAAAACCCCAGTGCACAAACTGCATCCCATCTCTCCCCGAATCCCCATGACTTTGCAATCCTCCATATACACATATAATTCCTCTAGATTCCATTGTCTTTATCCTTCTCAACTCCAAGCAGGGCCTTCTTCTCGGCCTCTTCGCGGTGCGCCGCTTGTTCTGGCCATCCACCCTACTTGACTTGTCATCTAGCGCCTCCTCGGCGAAAATTGATTCTTATGATTATGGATACTTGATCCGTCCTACTACCGGTCGGCGCTCCCTTTTCTAGGAGGAGGAGTACTTCCCGGAGTACTTAGAGTACTAGGTGTTGTATTACTTCTGCTCCTTGTAGTACCTCTACTAGCTCTAGAGGCTGACGTTCCAGTTCCGGCTCGGGGTCCAACTCCAGCTCCAAATTTAGATCTATTTCCAGCTCCAATTCCAGCTCCAGATCCTCCAGGTACCACCGCCGTAATCCCGCCGCTAGGTTGTACCAAAGCCTGCCAAGGTATATATTCCGTAGACACCGTTCTAGATGCTCCACCGGTAGAGGCCCCAGGGGCAGATCCTCCAGGGGCGGCAGACAATCCAGGTCTCCCTCCTGGTCCACCAGGTACTCCAAATACTGCCGCTGGGGGCATCGCATTTCTCCTAGAGGTAGGCGCCCTTGACCGTGCAGTTGTTCCTACTAATCTTGTAGTAGTCCCAACCCCGGCTCCGACTCTGACTCCAATCTCAGCTCTAGCTCCAACTCCAAGCCCGGCTCCAGCTCCAAGCCCAGCTCCAGCTCCAGCTCCAAACCCAGCAGCAGCTCCAAGCCTAGCAACAGACGTTCCATGTCCTCGAGAGCCTGAGCCAGATGACGTAGTTGCTCTAGGTGCCGATCCTCCTGTTCCTACAGTTCTTATATGCTCATGTCCATATCCAGCCCCAGCCCCGGCTCCAGCCCCGGCTCCAACTGCAGGACCACCTCCAACTTCAAACTCAGATCCGAAACCAGCTCCTCCTCCTTCTCCAGATCCAAACCCAGCTCCTCCTCCTCCACCTCCAACCTCACCTCCCCCTCTCTCTCCCCCCTCACCCCATTCCCATTAACAAAATCCCCCCAATCCCTCCACCCCCCACCGCCCTCAAACCCCCTCCTATCCTAAAACTCCGCAAACATCCCCCCTCCCCTCATAGCCTCCCAACCCTCCCTAAACTCCCTCTCCACTTTCTCCTCCACAATCGGTCCTTCAAAGGGATACCCCAGCACTTCCGCCACAGCTTGCTGACAGATTTCTTTTACCGCAGATTCGCGAACGTTGGCTTCACGAAGTTCAAGGAGGGGGACGGCGCAGCGAAGGATGCGCAGCATGGAGAGCGGGAAGGATAAGAAGCGCGCGAGGTGGGTGAATGGGACGGAGGAGGAGAGGTTGTGGGAGAGGTGGTGGTAGAAGGTGGTTAGGAGGCGGGCTTGGTGGGGTGTTAGATGGGGTGTTAGTTGGGGTGTTTGGTGGGAGGGTTGTTGGGAGGGTTGGGAGTGTTGGGAGGGCGTGGAGGAGGGGATAGGGTAATTGGTGTTAGGGACATCACTGGGACCACCGGGGTTACCGGAGACGGAAGAGAAGGAGAACGGGTAGTTGGAGGGGTTGAAGGTTGAAGGTCTGGGGAGGTTGGCTGTCCCCGACGGGTTGGGGTTGGGGTTGGGACTCGTGGTTCGTTTGGGTGAGGATGCGATTGTGGTGGTTGTTGTCTTCTTGGCTGTCGTCGCTGCTGAATTCTCCGTTGATGCTGTTCCAGAATCCGATCTAGCTCGGGATCACGTCGGGGCTCTAGTTGCTGTTGCTGTTGCTGTTGCTGTTGCTGTTGCCGCCGTTCGTAAATTGTAAGCTCAGAGCTAGGTTGTGCCCATGATTGCTGTTGCTGTTGCGGTTGAGACTGTGGTTGAGACTGTGGGTGATGCTGTGGTTGATACTGCGGTTGAGGCTGTTACTGGAGCGCAGGGCCTATGTTCGAGGAGTTGGGTTACGGCTGCGGCTGACGTCGAGCCGGAAGAAGAGAATGGGACTGGGGGAGCAAGCGGGGTACGGCGTTGACTGCTAAGAAGGCGGACAAGGGGGATAAGGGTTCTTTTTGAATGTTGGGGTTGTCACCGTTATTTTGGTTGTTGCCGTCGTGTGGGGGCGGTGTTGATGGCATTTTGAAGAGGTCAGAGCCGGGGTTTTCGCGGTTGCTGCAGTGTGCGGGAAGATGAGAAAAGTTGCTCGACAAGGTCAGCCGTAGGAGGATTGGGTCTTTAATTTAAGCCAGTGAGCTGTTGTTCACCTCGCAGGTTCCTGGATGTTCTTCAACAAGGAGTGGATGGGTGGTTAAAACCAGAAAGGACGAGTGTCTGCCATGACAAAATGCAAAGCAGCACATTTGAGGTATACAAAGCTTCTCACCAATTGAGGATGCCTTCCATGCTGTTCTGTTTATAATCGCAGTTTGGTAGTTTGTCCATGGTGACGACGGAGTATGCTTGTAGGGGTCCGTTTGAACCACCGTGTTCACGTCAAGCTGAAATAAGAGAGTGAGGTCAACGATGGCGGATCCAACCAACTTGTCTTGAGACAACGAGTATGCTCTGGTACGTTCTTCGAAATATCTGGATGGTTTGAATTTCACTACATAAAACAGGCAGATAGTCAGAATCGCGCGCACCAAGGGAACTTGACTTACAAACTCATCAACAGTTGTCCACACCCAACTGCAACACCCAACCACTCCCTGTGTCCCGGTTGTTTCCTACACCTCCTTCCCCTCTCCTCGAAGATGACGACTCCAGGTCTTTATGGATCTCAAAGTGAGAGCCACCAACAACATCTAGCTACATCGTCCACATTGGTTGCACCACCTTCATCTCCTCGGGCCCTTCTCCGACCCCAACCTAAGCCACCAACCCCTCTCCCGCCACAAACCACCAGGAGCAAATCTGTTCCCCTGACATCAACAACGTCAAAAACACCAATTGCCACCACCAAGAGGCCACCCAAGCCAACTTTCTCCAAAATCTCCTCCCTCTACCAATACACCTGGGAGCGCATTGACGACCTCAAGCTGATCACCGGCGCCCTTTGCGAGAGGTTGATTGCGCTAGAAGACACGGTGGCGACACTGGACGAAGAGGACAGTATGGAAATCTTCACGAAAAAGGCTTTCGATATGGCGACAGAGGGCCAGCTCATAGCGATGATTGCGGAGCAGTTCAAGGAGACTGGGTCGTTGATGGCGGATAGGGCGATGAGTGTGGGTTTGGTTGATGTTGATTGGGATGGGAATGGGAACGGGAACGGAAAGGCCAATGGGAACGTGGATGGGAAGGGGGATGGGAGTGGTAAAGCAGAGAAATAGGGGGAGAAGAAGCAGCAGCAGAGGACCACCGTTAGCGACCCAGACACAGACTCTGATCCTGATCTATAATATCTGCAAGCACCGAGTCTTGGAGGCAAAAACAAAGGGAGAGCATGTCATTAACACTATGTACAGTAATGTCACTGGATGAATCGAGGAGCGTTCGTTGGGGAAATGGCTGTGGGGGTAAGCGTCTGGACCCATGGGGAAAGCAAAGAACCACGAGAGGCTGGGTAATCTACCTTTAATACAAATACAACCGCAAAGGTTAACTCCTGATGCCTTACCGGTTCGGATGCAGCGAGTACGTTATCTCCCTGGGCGCCAGATGTTCAGTCTTGCTCCGGTCAGACCCAGCCAGACCGAGTTTTCCGGAGGGGACACTCGTAACTCTTCGCCTAATTAACCCAGAGATGGACAACCAGATGTTGGCTTTTTTCGCGTCAAACGCACCAATGAAGAAGCACAGCGGTTCAGGGATTCTGTAGGGATTTCGGATGTCCTCGAGGGTCATGGCAAGATGGGAGCGGCGTCGAATCGGAAAGTGTAACGACGCTCGTTGGAGTAACATACGACCCCATCAACATTGTACCTGTGGCAAAAGGCAATGCGGCCCGGGCCGCGGTAAGCCATTCTCATGCGCAGTTTCGGCAATGTACCTGAGAGCGATCCGTCGTCGGCCCATGGTACCGCATGATGGAACGACTTCCCTTAGTGGGTGAGTTCGGCATGAAGCTTTGGTAGAAGTAAAGGGAGCCACCACCATGGACATAAAAAAAGTTTAAAATTTTTTTTTAAAAAAAAACGTATCAGCAATGTAATCTGATGGTAGCGTATTTCGTAAATGGCCGAAAAAAAGATTATGGTCGTGTTGTGTTGTCGAAATTCGGGAGTGTCATGTTCCCAGCCTGGTCCGACAAGGCTTTGTTTACTTCAGTCAGGGGTAGACGATGGGCCTTGCTTTTCTTGGCCGAACACCTGAAGATCTCGCTGATCTCCCTAGACAACTTGCCAAGAGCCATCAAGGTGCATCAACGTGTCTTAGATCCATCGTAGTTATAAGGCTGTTGCTCCGAAACGCTTGTCGTCGGCTGGATGTTGGTCTTGTGATCGTGTGGTTGTCCAGATCAGGAAAGTGGATGGGCCGAGCACACCCGACGACCCGAGTACATCCGCGGGTATACCGCCAATAGAATTCAAACAAGACCAACAGTTGGCTTTGCTAAGCCGGGTTGTTCTTGGATCTGTTTCTGTTTGTAATGATGATCATAGATTCATGTTGTCCGGATCGTGATGTCGGCAACTGTCCAGCCCTCTGGTGGTTGTAGTATATATAAGTCTGCTCACCACATCCGATATTGTTAGCCGACAATCATAAAAGTGTAAGTGATAGGGTATCAGTAGCCTCGTAGCCGCGTCCTAACAGCCAACGTCTTGTGACGTCAAGTGAGGGTCTCGACGTTGACCGGAAAGACCCCTCTTTTTGGACAGCTGCAGCTAACTTGACAGCTTGGAATCCGGGGAGCATGAAGGCCAATGCCGGAAGCAGGCGGCTTCTTGAATCGAACATTACCGGGCGTGTGGCTGTTCAGGGGAAAGGGAACGCCAACAGGAGCCGGGAGTCGGGCCAAGCTGGCAGCATTCCTCCGGACCGTTCCGGTGAATGGGGCCCGACGATAATGGTGTTGCCGAAAGGCCAGGGTTGGCCAGGGTTATAGGTGCATCTTTGGCCAGGGGCTTGGATTGTCGTTCAGGGTTGTTAAGGAACTGTCAAGGATAGCTTCTCATCTACCCCGCGAAAACATGTCAAGACGATCCCGCCTTGCCCACAATATCGAAGTTAAAGTTGCGGTAAGCCCGGGCGATGACGGTTTGGGTTCCTTTTTACCCCCTTTTCCCCAGATCCACTGTGGTTCGCGTTCCATCCAAAGGTGTTGTCTAGCAAGGCACAATGCTGGGATAGGGGAGTGTTTTGTTTTTGCTGATGTTGGATTATCGTAGCCGGCCAGCCAACCAGCAGCACCAGCCGACACTTGGGCTTGGCATCAGATGAAGTGACAGACGAACTGAAGGATTGAACACAATGTGTGGCTGTGGTTAACATTAACTCTTCCTTTTCTCTAGCTGTGGCTTCACTTGTGGCGTAGACAACAGGGAAGAGCTTCGAGCTTTCTCTCAAAGCTCAACAAGCAAAAGATATGGGAGTGGAGCCGAGATGAGCTGCCGAACGGGAGCTATGGCCATGCAATCCACTTGGGAGCAAGATCATGACGAACTATCCAGTCATTGAACATGGAGAGTTTTCGTTACATATTTGAGCCTGGCCAACAACAGTCCAAAAGAATACGCAAGAGAACAGACGAATGAATTGACAAATCTGAGAGGATTTGAGGAGCCAACAATTGTTGTCAAACTGACAGCGTGGACAACCAACAGAAGGGTGCAGATGCAGTGAGGCGAGGCCACAGGAGAGAGCTCCGCTTGGGCTGGGGGTCTCGGCGAGAGGGGGACGGATGGGGAAACGACGAAAATGGCAGACAGACACCGTCGTCGGTCTTGAGCCGAATGTCTCCAAACTTTCCCGTAGCCCATGCCATGTTGGCCATGTTGGATCCCGTCTTGTTCCTTACCGACTGTCTTGGTTTCCATATTCCGCTCCGTACCTTACCGGATACCCCGTGTCAGCTGAGCAGGTCCTTGTTAGTCGGATACAAGAGTTGTTGTTTGTTGATGTTTTCCATGTTAATTCTGGTGATGATGGTGTTGACAAGTCAGTCTCGGATGATGGACGGTGGAGGACGGCATGCCACGCGCTGCATGAGCGATTTCGAGCTGTCAAGACTATCACATAGCTTTGATAAGAGCCAAGCAGTCCAGGCGGAAAGAACCAGCCTGATCCCCGTTGCCGATTTTCTCTACCAGCAAACAAAGGCCCGATGAGAAAAGAGATTCTCTGGGAATATCGGCGCCTGGCCCGTTAGCCTGGTACGAGACCGGCGTCGCGGCCCCCGTAGGCCCCGGTGACGGAGAGCCCTGGCTGCTTTTTTTGGGGGAAGCACCGGGCTCGCAGTTGGAGCAGTCAGAAATGTCAGCAGCGACGTCTTCAAAACTGACTCATTCAATTGGTATTACAAACACAAGACCCGTGAAGCACATAACGCGATCGTAATCCACGGCTTCTCCGGCAACAAGCTGTCTGATTGTTGCCTCTTGTCGGCGGCGTCAAAGAAGGATGGGAATCTCTTCAAGCCAAGGGCGTGGCCGAGTACGGCGTACCCTTTGTTGCAAGGGTGGAGAGTGAGGTACTGCGCTAACATGGCACGCCAAGCCGTTGAGAGAGTCGCCCCACTTCATCCCACCACGTCCCACCACAGCCCACCACAGCCCACCAGGGGCATGGAGCAAAGCGGTGATGATGCAACCGCGATGGGAGACGGCTGGTGGGATGGAAGGAACAAGCACAAACCACCCCACCTCGAGCCAAGTCAGTGCCAGTCAAGTGCCAGTCACCTCTTACCAAAATTATGTCGCTCATGCCACCACGGTGACATTGGCAGGCAGTGAGGGTGTTTGGCAGGGGTGACAAGGAGCTCCTCTTTTGCCCCTCCTTGCCGACCGGGGATTACATACTGATAACCAGAATGGACACGAGCAGGGCAGCTGGAGTCGGCTGGAAACTAGATAATAGATACAAGAACCTCCTCGGGCCCTCCCAACTTTTTCCTTTCTTCCTTCCTCTTGCTTCATCATCATCCTCGCGATACCCTCATCTTTCCAACCACATCTACAAACATCAGGTATGTTGTGACTGCCCTTGCATCTCCAGGAACAACGGAAACACCTGCCCCTCCATCATCCCAAGCTTCCTTCCTCAATACTCCCAGATGTCAGCGTCATGCCCAGCGACGGCGGCAGCAGAAGCAGCAGCTACCCCGCACCTCCTTCCTTCTCTCCCTCCGTGTCCCGCGTCTTCCCATCATCAGTCACTGCCTCCCGCCTTGCTGCCAAGCTGCGTACAGCATTCGTGTCTGCGTCTGTTACCCCCAAGGGGCAGACGAGACTCAGAGCTGTCATGGATGCTGGTGGTACTTGGTGGTGAAGGGTTCACTAGGAATCTTTTGACCCCCGGCTCTGTCTACCGTCGTTCCTTCCACTTTAGGACGCTCCCTCGTCCAATTGTTCTGCCACGCAGATATGGCACTGAGGGAACTGGTCCGAAGAGGAAGGAAGCGGGAGGGGGACGAGTCTGGGATAAAAGCCAGACTTCCCTTAGCCTTTCCTGACCTCATCCCAAAACTTTCTTGATCCTACGCACTCATCATCTTGCAACCTTCAACAATTTGCTTGACAACCAAAACGTCTTGATTCTTACCAGTCTTCACTCCAACAGTCAAAATGGTCGTCAAGGTCGGCATCAACGGTTTCGGCCGCATCGGTCGCATTGTCTTCCGCAATGCCATTGAGCACGATGACATCCAGATCGTCGCTGTCAACGATCCCTTCATTGAGCCCAAGTACGCTGTAAGTTGGCCTCGCATACATACATACATCTCCCGTCTCATGAAGCCGGATCCTAACCACCTTCCCTCATACAGGAGTACATGCTCCGCTACGACTCTACCCACGGCAACTTCAAGGGCACCATCGCCGTTGAGGGTTCCGACCTCGTCGTCAACGGCAAGAAGGTCAAGTTCTACACTGAGCGCGACCCCTCTGCCATCCCCTGGTCCGAGACCGGCGCCGACTACATCGTCGAGTCCACCGGTGTCTTCACCACCACCGAGAAGGCCTCCGCCCACTTGAAGGGTGGTGCCAAGAAGGTCATCATCTCTGCCCCCTCTGCTGATGCCCCCATGTACGTTATGGGTGTCAACAACGAGAGCTACGACGGCTCCGCCAACGTCATCTCCAACGCCTCTTGCACCACCAACTGCTTGGCTCCCCTCGCCAAGGTCATCCACGACAACTTCACCATTGTCGAGGGTCTCATGACCACCGTCCACTCCTACACCGCCACCCAGAAGACCGTCGATGGTCCTTCCTCCAAGGACTGGCGCGGTGGCCGCACTGCTGCTCAGAACATCATTCCCAGCAGCACTGGTGCCGCTAAGGCCGTCGGCAAGGTCATCCCCGACCTCAACGGCAAGCTCACTGGCATGTCCATGCGTGTCCCCACCGCCAACGTCTCCGTTGTCGATCTTACCGTCCGCATCGAGAAGGGTGCTTCCTACGATGAGATCAAGGAGGTCGTCAAGAAGGCCTCTGAGGGTCCCCTCGCTGGCATTCTCGCCTACACTGAGGATGAGGTTGTCTCTTCCGACATGAACGGCAACCCCGCCTCTTCCATCTTCGATGCCAAGGCCGGTATCTCCCTCAACAAGAACTTCGTCAAGCTTGTCTCTTGGTACGACAACGAGTGGGGCTACTCTCGCCGTGTCCTCGACCTCATCTCCTACGTCGCCAAGGTCGATGCCTCCAAGGCTTGAATCGGTTGCGTCCCCGCACGATTATGAAGTAATGGTCTTTTCCTAGATATGAAAAAAATGGGCAATGATTGATGGGATTGAACTCGAGCATGTTGGATCTCGGGCAGTCCTGCTTATAGTAAAATAATATCCGAACTCAAATAGATACCGAGTTCACCTCCACTTTTGTCTTAACTGCGCACCGTGATGTTATTTGTGTTTTTGTCTGGACTGCGGTGTCTGGATGGCTGTGATCAATCCAGTTGACTGCAATCTGTCCATAGGCCACAACTAGCTGATCCCGGGCCTCCCGGCGACGGCTTACCAGCACTGAGCTGCCTTAGGAGCACTCAAACAACAGCCTTTGGCGAGGGTGAGTTTCAAACGCGCATGCCAAGGAGTATGTAGACCAACAGCTTGCTAGCATATGTCTTCTTGCTTCAGGATACTCCCTTCAATGGATTAACCAAGATCTAGAATTTTCAGTGGCCTGAGAACACGATGTTCCTAAACAATTGATGATTGGCAATTCCCATCAGTGGCATGACGATATGACAGCATGAGGCGAAGTTGAAGGGAGAAGGGGTGGGTTGTATTCACTGTCACCGTTACCGTCGTATCGACGTGAGTGTGGTCTGACAACGCCTTATCAGGCAATACGATCAACAAGCTACTATCTGGGCCTGTTTGCCGCCCGCTGCCGCCCGCTAAATGGGTGGAACGAGGACGTCAAGGTGTGGAGGGTCTTCCAATCAGTCTTGGAAAAAGGGTCATGATATGGAACTAGGCCATCAAGGTATCCGATCCTCGTTCGTCACGGTATACGAGAGTCGGGTTGCATGCCCGGCTGAGACGAATTCGGGGACCTTAATGACCTTGATGGCCTTGACGAGCTTGGCCACTTTGGCGGCACCAATCTGATGGATGACCTGGATGGCCGAGAGAAGTCCCGAAGATGTAAGAAGTTGTCTCCTTGAGCCATTCAGGATATTCACGAACACCGAAAAGCGAAGAAAAAAAAAAGAAAAAAAAAAGGGCAAAACCAAAGACGAAAAGCGAAGAGCAAAGGAAAGAGTGACACTCACGAGAGCACGAGAGCGCAAGGGCAACGGCAAGGGAACAATGGAAACCATAAGGAGGTGTCAGCAAGCCCAGCTTGGTGCAGTTGAGCAGGACTGACTGATGAATATCACTGATATCACTAACAAGTAGAATGTTACTGTTCAGCTGAGAGGGATGCCCAGATGTTGGGATGTTAGGATGTTAGGATGCTAGGTTAGGATTGAATTGTGCGGATAAAGCTGGGAGGGAATGAAAGGAAGGATGAGCGTCCCCTCATTTATGGCAGTTGGCTCGGGGTGGGGCTGTGGGTGTGTTAAATTTATTGTGGTCAATGACAGACGACAGAGAGTTGAGTTGATCCACGATAGATAATTCTCTGGGTGGAAGCTACTGTGGGAAGAAATTGCATGTGGGAAGAACAGGACAATACAAATAGGACTGAAAGATGTTGCTTTGAACAAACATATGATTCTCATCATGCCGTTCGCCTTCTATCATAGCTCTTTGATCACTGGCCTTAAGACACCCAACACACATATCACCACAGGTTCATGAGAAGAAAGGTGCTTTGAATGTTTTATTGTTTTGCCGCTGCCTATCTCTATCTATGTTTTAGCCCATTGTTGAAAGTAACCATTCATGCATTTAATTGCCCTACTAGACTAATCTCATGTCAAACCAATGAACCGAGCCGTCTATTTGTTTGTTATGCTCCCGAGACCATACCATACCGTACCATACCATCTGAACAGACCGATGTGAATGATGAAGAAACAAGTCCGACAGTCGGACAATCTCTCTTTTTTGTTTTAAACCACCCACTAATGACCATCAGTGACTGACCACCAGCAAGCAGCAACCATCAACAACATGTACCATACTTCCTTACTAAAAAGCAGCACCTCCCAGCCCCTCGCCCGCCAAATTCTTCAAGCTCCTCTCACTCAGATCACTCTTGAGCTCAAACGCCTTACTCTCCCTCTCCATCTTGCTCCACATCCTCAAGCTCCTCCTCAGCTTTTCCTTTTTAGCATTGAGTTCCTCCCTGATTCTCTCTTCATCCTCCATCAGTTTACGATGGTGCGGATCCAAATCCTTGGTCACGCCCGTCAACATGGCCGAGCCGGTGGACAGGCCAGCTTGCCGACGCCCGGGATGAGCGGGGGCATGCTGGCCATGAGGGATTGCGCTAGAGTCAAAGACTGCTGATGGCCGCGCGGGCCGTGGCCGTGATGAGAATGGGCATGGGCATGGGCGGCAGGGCCGGTGGGTGGGTTAAACGGCTTTGCGGAGCTACTGAGGGAGGGAGAGGGGGACGAAGTAGAGGCAACGGGTGCGGAGGCGGCGGATGATGCGGCGGCTATGGATCCCCGAGGGCCGGTGGGGATGTTGTTGGCGTTGCTGGGGCCGCCGGTGCGAGGGCCGCCGCCGGAGGAGGGCGAGACCGAGGCCGCGGGGCCGTTGGTGTTGCTGTTGTTGACCGAGTTGTGGCGAGAGATGCCTGACCAGCTGTTTCCGCCACGTCCTCCGCGGGGAGCGAAGCCAGCGCCTCGGGGAGGAGGCACGTAGCCACGAGGGCCCGACGGTGGTACGGGCGGGCTGGAGGTGTCGGGTCGGGACGGGCCGCTGGGGGTCTGAGGAGGATGACGGGTTGCAGGGCTGGCTGAGGGCCCCGAAGGCGGTGCCAGGGTCCTAGTCGCCGCAGGGCCAGTGGGTGGTGCTCTCAAAGCTGCGGGGCCTCTAGGGGGCGACTTGACGGGAATGGGAGTGGGAGCTGGCTCCGGCGCCGGTTGCCGTTGCTCCTGCTTGGGCGTCTCACGCACAGGAATCGGAGTGGGCGGGGCCGGCTGTGGAGGGGATCGCGGTGCAGGTGCAGGTGCCTCTGTCTGTGCCTGTACCGACGGCGGTGCTTGTGTCGGTGCCGGTGCTGGTGATTGGGGTCTTGATCGGTCATCCCTTCTCTGGCGAGAGCTCGGACGCGGTGAAGACTTGCCCGACGCAGAGCGAGACGCAATAGCAGATGAGTTGACTGAATCTCTGGCCGGCGGGGGGGAAACAGGGCGTCGGAAGGCCGGGGCTGGATAACGATCGTCCTGGTCACGGACGCGGCGTTCTGGAGATCGGAACCGAGGACGATAAGATCCCCCTCGCGGTCCGACAGGAGGTGTCCTCCTCAGCGGTGATCGATTCCGGCGAAATCTGTCTCTGTTGTCAAATGGTGACCTAGACCTTCTCCGGATCTCAAATTCCCGCCGAGGGGGTGGGGGTGATCGAGCCCTCTCAGGTCGCTCGTCGCGCCGGGGAGAGGCAAATCTGGGCGGAGGGCTTCTTCTGGGAGGGGGGCTCCGTCTTGGTGGCGGTGAAGGGCTGCGAGGAGGAGGGCTGCGAGGGCGACTTCTGCTACGATCCTGTCGTCTCCAAGTGTTCTCTGGTTCCCTGGACCTATCTCGCGGGCGTCTATACCGGTCGCCCACTCCGCCTGGGCGATCTCCCATGCGATCTCCCAAACGGTCCGGCATACGATCTGGCAGACGGTCCGGCAGACGGTCACCCATACGATCGCCGATACGGTCACCCATACGGTCACCCACACGGTCACGAATGCGGTCGCCTAGACGGTCCCCAAGACGATCTCCCAACCGGTCACCAACGCGATCAGCCAGGCGATCGCCTACACGATCTCCGATACGATCGACCAAACGGTCTCCCACGCGATCTCCTCCACGATCTCCAATGCGGTCTGCCAAACGATCTCCTACCCGATCTCCACGTTCTCCTATGCGATCCACCAGCCGGTCACCACTACGCGAACGGCGGCGTGGGGATCTGCTGGGAACGTAGCTGTCGCTGGCGCCGGGCGGAGTACGGCCTCGATCTTTCGGGGGCAGGGGACTGCGAGTGGCCCGAGGCGACCGATCTCTGTTATACGGTCGGTAGGATTCGCCTGCTCCATACCTCCGAACTTCTCCATCTTCGTATCTGTTGAGAGCCATCTGTTAGAACGCACTCCTTGGGTATAGGTCAATCTCCAAAAAGCGGCCATGGTGGGGGCCCGCTTGGCCAATACGAGCTTGAGAATGAGAGAGAAAGAAAGGAAGGAAGTAAAAAAAGAAAAAAAGATAGAAAGGAAACAGAGCCTTGACCAAACCACCGGCAGCATGAACCCGCAAAGCGAAAGACAGTGACGCTTTAGGACTGTCAAGCAGACCCGCCTTCTTGGGGTTCGAAGGTAGACAGACTGCTCTGACTGGAATGACTTGTAACACATGAAAACCTAAGGAGACTTTGAACCGGGAAATACGGAATTCGAGAAGTTATGCGGCGAGGGACGGTCCGTGGAGGATTTGGGGAGCCTGGAAAAAACATCATGACTTCCGTTGTAAGGGAAAGGTCGTCCTTCCTGCAAACTATAGTTGTCATATCGCAATTTTCTCGCCATGTCGACATAGGATTCGGGGCGCGGATAGGTTTCCCGTTTCACAGCGTCAACGATAACTGGCCGGATAACCTCCTCAGAGGGGAGAATGTCCGACTTCTTCGGGAGTTTGCTGATCTCGCCGGCGGTATGTTTTCTGGAGAAGCTCGCCCGATTTTTGCCCTTCTTGCCGTCCGTATCGATGTTTATGGCATCAGAATCCGAAACCTCAGCAGACTGAGAAGATTAAGAAGTCCGAGAAGATGAAGAAGACGAAGAAGCCTGGGCAGTCTGAGCAGCGTGTTCAGCTAGGATAGCTGTGTGGCCTGTCCAGCTAGGAGCGCCTTTGCAGCCCTTGCAGCCTGCGCGGCCTGTAGAAGGTGGAAATGGTATTGGTAAGCGCCTCGATGATAGCGGGAAACCCAAGGTCCTTTGGGCGGACAGGCTCGCTTCTGCTGCGGCTGCAGCTGCAGCTGCTGCTCGATGTTCTGACGACGACATCGTGGAATACGCGAGAACCGTATGCGAGCGGGGAGATGGGAGTATTCGAGATCGATAGCGGTTTGTTCCTGGACGATTTTGGAAATGGGTTGCGGAGCTGGCCCTCTGGGATTTCAGTTGATGATGGTCGAGATGGCGAATGTGTTGTTTTGGAGGTGGAGGTCGTGGGATTGATGAACTTGTCGGTCGTTGGGGGTTTGAGCTTTTGAAGGCGGACAAGTGGCCCAAGTTGGCCTTTTAAATTTTTCCGGCGGGCAAAAAAAAAAAAAAAAAAAAGGCTAGTTGGCGTGGCAGAGTCTGGTCCGCATTGCATAGATGCCGCTCGATTCTTTTCGGAAATATATTCGGAGTCCGTTCTGATGCCGCCCGTTTCCGAAGTTCGTCCTGACGCCGTCCTCGATGTCCGTACACTGCCCTGCCCATGCAATGCAATGGACACCACGTTCCTTCGCTAATGTTGCTTTTGCTCCTCAATCTTGATGTTGATATGATGGGGCAAATGAAACTCTCATGATCAGGTTGTCGCGCTCTCCGTTCATTTGTACGATCTCCTGGTGTCGTCATCCTGCCCGTCTCCAACGGCATGGACAGCAGCAATACCATACGGTCGGTATCTTCCCACATCCTTCTCCTCCTCCTCTCCCCTCCTCCGAGTACCGCATGAGTCCCACGCATGATTTCATGCTCTGTTTTCCTTCACAGATTCCAGGCTGCAGGTTCGCCCCTCTGCTTTCCCTTTCCCTTCCATTCTCAATCTCCTTCATCAAAGTATGGTTGCAATTTCTTATTTCTCACTTGAGAAATCTTTCATGTGAAAACAAAGCTCGCAGCTTGCACTGGCTCCCATAACATCCACCAAAGACACACTGAATACCAAAAAAAAAAAAAAAAAAAAAAAAAAACCTTACCTTCTACTCCTATCCATAGCCACAGCATCAGAGAGCGGTGGCCCTCCTCCTCCCCCACCTCCCCCAGATAAATGAGGTGAGTGGTTATGGTTGTGGTTACTATGGTGATTATTTCTCACAGAATTATGCCGTGCTGCCGGCCCTCGGTGGTGGTGATGCTTGAAGGGGTAATCTGGTCGCATAAGGGGTGGTCGTGTGTGTCGTTGGAAAGCGACGACGATGAACGGGGACAAGATAAAGGGAAAACAAAAAAAAACTGGGAAGTTGCGGGAGCCCCGTTGGTTTGGGTGTCGGTGACGACTTTGTTTGTTTATGCGGATGTTGAGGTCTTGTTGTATGTGTTGTTCCGGGGAAAGTGGAAATCGTGAGGTTGAGTGAGGCTGCGTTGCAAGGCGAAAACGGAAAGGAACGAATTGAATCGTGACCGCGATTCGTCAAGGTGCAGTGAACCGTCCACTGTCGTCCGTCGCAGGAGTGCCTGGGTAAAGTTTTGCCTGCCGGGAACTCAGACTTGACTGACTAGCGCGGGGACGCAGTCACGTGGATGGGTGTCACAAAGAAGGCGTGGCTTGGCACAAATTCGCCACGGACATGAATGGTGGTCAAAGCGCATTCCAGACGCGGACAAACGCGTCTTAGGTGGCAGTTCTCAGGGTTAGGGCTTGCAGTAAGGGTTAACTTCAGGAAGGTGTCTCGAGGGTGTCAAAGGGTTTCGTAAACGATGCTCCATTGCACACGTGTTCAACACCAAATTATCCTGCTAGCTGCGTAGACCAAGGTATGGCAAGTCTTATAAAATAAGCTATAACTTGAGTGGGTCCAACTCGCTATCACCAAGGCTATCTCTCACACATCATCCACCATCTCATCACCAAACTTCTCATCATCCGGCCGCATCCTAACAACCATCCAGTCCTGCACATCCTTGAAGTGTTCGTTCATCATACGGCCCAATCCGCTCACGTCGCTGCGAATGACTGAACCGAATCGGCGCTTCATAACCTTCCGACTCAAGTCAGCATCCGCCCAGCATGCATGGTCTGCCGACACGTAGACCCGCGAGTTATCCTTGTACCACGATGAAAGATCGGTGTCGACATCTGATTTGACGGGGCGTAGGTTTCCGTTGACGAAATTGACGACTCCGTTGATTCGCGACTTCACATCTGTAGTGTTTGGAGTCAGTAATCACAGCCTCAATTTAAGAGAGTGGAGATTCGTGGTGAGGAAAGTGACATACCTCTGTTTATGAGAAGCAGCTTGACACCGAGGTAGGCATTACCAACACCCATAAGGAAGATGTCATCCGCATCGTAAAGCTGGAGGTAGTTATCCCAGATGTAGCACATGAGTTCCTGGATCTGTGCTTGTTGCGTCCGCTCGTCCACCTTGGGGGCAAATGATTCCGTATCCTACAGGTTGAGGTTAGCATGATTCATCTCTACGTCTTCTCGGTCATCGTTTTTCTTACTTCTGGATGTGTGATGTATTGAGGGATATTGATATCGAAAACGCCAATATTCCTGTCGATGGCCCACTTGATGTATTGGGGGATACTATCCGTAATCCAGGAGTCGTGTGGCTGGAGACTGTTGTCAAGGGGGTCTGGCTGGGCGTGTAATTCTGGTCTGTAGAAACACACAATTAGGTCGGGCTGCCAGAATGGATCGAATTATAACTTACGGATCATGGATAACCACAAGAAGCTTCCGAGCTTCACTCGCATTCCTCGTAACCAACACCTGGTTCTCAAAGGACTTGAAAAGCACGTCGCGCTGGATATACAGCGGGAACATGCCAAACTTCTCCGAAAGGTTGAAGCGCTGAGCTGAACGGACAACATCATGTAACCTTTGGCCACCTTGGCTCTGCATCTCCTGAACATCAACGATGCCTGGTCGCATGCATTCCCAGTACGGCGCTTGGTACGCCTGCACCTTCGCCAGGACTCGGGCAGCTTCCTTATTGATCTTGGGGATATCCATCTTTGGGGCGGTTCTCCCATGAGCGTACGGGCTACTGCCAAGGCTGATTTGGAGATCGCCTCAAGGTTGTAGCCGCCTTCTAGACAGACAGCTACTTTGCCGTTGGCCAAGGACATGAGCATATGTGTCATGTGGGCATAGCAAGTTGGCGAGACAAAGCAAGCACCCAACTCGTCACCGTCCGCGGCGTCAAACCCGGCGGAGATGATGACAAGATCGGGATCGAACTCGTGGGCAATCGGCATGACAATCTTCTGGAAAGCTGCCATGTACTCGCCGTCACCCATTCCTTGGTCGTGCCAACCAATGTTCACGTTCTTTCCCAAGCCTACGCCCGCTCCACAGTTCTCGATACTGCCATCTGGCGTCATCGGATTATCCGGTTTTCCAGGGTAGAACGAGCCGTTCATGTAGACGTGTAGCGAGATGTATAGAATATTCGGGTCATCGTAAAACATGTTTTGGATACCGTTGCCGTGGTGAACGTCCCAATCCAAGATAAGTACCTTGCGGCAAATCTCAGGGTATTCAGTTTGGCAGATCTTGGCTGCTATTGGGACGTTGTTGAAGAGACAGAAACCCATGGGCTGGTCGAACTCTGCGTGATGACCCGGCGGACGGATAACCGCAAAAGCGTTCTTGACGTTGCCGACAACCACGCTCTTGCAGGTCTCAATAGCACCTCCAGCCGAGATCAAGGATGCCTCAAACGTCATGCTACCGACGTAAAGGGAGTCTCTACCTTGGTCCATTTGTGTAGAGAGAGTGCGAAGCTCCGAGGTCGGTTTCGTGACAGATTCTCCACCCATCGGAAGTGCTCAGGGTGGTGGACGAGGCAAATCTCCTCCTTGGTCGCGTGTCGGGCCGGGATGCGCCACATGTACCTCCTCGGGTCGGTGCGGATGACCTTCTTTAGGTCCTCATCGTTGCCGGTAAACACGAGACCTTCCCTCTTGAAAATCCTCATGATATGCTCGATACGCGACGGGTCTTCAGGATGGTGTGGGTTCGGGCCAAAGTCGGCATTGGCGTGAAGCTTCATGCGATCATCGTAGCAGCATCCTGTCGGAAGGAGACCTCGTCGCTTTAGGCGAGCCGGATATATAAACGGATCTTTCTCATCGGCCAGCTTCTCCTCCTTCTCGTATTTGATAGTGCCGGCGTGGTCATGACCATTCGATTCTGGTTCTGTCTTGGTGAAGCCATTACTTGTTGCTGGCATGCCAGATGTGGCAGGATGGTCTTCCTGGCCGTCCATCACGACATCATTGTCGTTATCGACCATCTTGAGATAGTCCGTCCAGACGGACGACTATGTGAAGGTAAAAGGTATATAATGCCGGTGTCAACTGTTGAAACCTGCATAACTGTATTAGTAAAGTGAAAGGTGAGTTTGGACAAGCAGATGGACCGAGGGGGTCTTAGGAAGTCCGCCAGGGTCGGACAACAAAGCAAACGGTGATGTGCTCCTTCAGAAATAGAAGCGTGGGTTGGTTGATGAGATAGAAACAACAAACAACGGACAGGGCTAGGGGTAACGTGGATGTCCTTGGGGAGTGCAAAACTCATGAACAGCTGGACAGTAGACATCGAAGCTTCCGCAAGCATGAATGGCGAGCGGCGGCATCCAAACTCAGACTGAGAGTCAGAGTGGATGTGGGAGGTGAGAGGGAAAGGAGGCTATCGTCAAGGGGGTTGAGGATGTGTGAAGCAGTGAGCACCCAATAACCGCTTAGACTTTCTGCCATGTGAAGCATATCATCCTGCATCCCATTGTAAGAGAGGGTAACAGGTGTGAAAAGCAAGTGTGAGGAAGGTTGCGGGTGTTATATATATGGATGACCGTGCGGTCCACCAGGCGTTTCAGGAGTGAAGCGGGCAAGCGATTCGGACCCGGGCCGGACACTTTGCGCCGCGAACCCCTTCCACGCCCCTCGACCACCACCACGGCTCAAAAGAGCAAAGAATGATATGAGATCGTCTTGGCTCAGAGGTGAGCTTTCCAACAGTTCTGTTCCTAAGCGGCTTTTACTGGCGCGACCTGAAGACGCGCCGCCGCGCACCAAGGGGGGAAGGGAACACCACCAGACCGGCGGCTAAGATTGGGGAGATGGAACGATAGGTGGGGTGAGTGAGTGAACTTACCTAGCTTATGGAAGAATTGCCGGCGCATGCCTTTTTGAAAGGTAAGTCAGGAAACACGAAGGAAGATTGTATGAGTATGTGATCAAATCCAAGCGAGGTTTGTGCCAAAGTTGCTCAAACGAGAAAGGAAAGACGCAGAAAGTATTCAAGTTGCTGCCCTGCTGAGGCGTTTGGGGAGACGGATCGGGATGTGTTGTTTGGTGTTTGGTTGTGGTTGTGGTGTTGAAGTCTAGAATTGAGACCGACGGGAGCGCTGAATGGGGAATTGCCCGGCGCTGGCAGTCCCGGGCCAGGGCACTGCATGCCAGCTAGGGCAGGCACGCAAGGGGGCCCAACTGGTCGGAGCCTCCCGCTCTTTCCCCCACTGTTTTGGAGGGAACAGGGTCCCTCTGTTTAGCGGACTTGACCAAAACAATGGAAGTGGAAGAATTTTGTCAACCTCCTCATCCGATATCGATGAACGTCCACTCGAGTCATGACAATGTTGGTCGTTTGCCTTTGGTGTGGGCGAGCCTGCCAAACGAAAGTCGTTTTTTTAACCCATTGACAGCGTTTGCCTTCCGCTTTAAGAATAACCTGTTCAGGCATCGACCTCCAATCTTCATCCCTTGTCTTCAATAGCAGCAAGAATCTCGCCAGCTCTCACGCATAGAGGACACAAAGCCCCTTTGCCTCGCCTTCATTATGTTACAGACACGACTCGCCGTGAGGATATTTAGCACGTTTTGTCATCCTGTAGAAGACGCCCTTGCGATCAACATAAAACGTACACAATAATTTCTCTTGAAGGCTACAGTAAGTGGCAGTTTCACGATGCGACTGTATCCAAGGTAGAGTCCAACGTGGTGGCCTTGTTGTCATTATCAGCCTTCCCCAATGACGTTCTGCTGTCTCTTCTACATATGTCCTCTCCTGGCACGAGGAGATGTCGATGCCACCGAGGGGAACCGGTGTAGATAACCTCGAGGTAAACAGGTGACGCATACCCGGCTCAAGGCCTTGGATTCCCATTGTGAACACTCAACTGTTGGGAGGTGTCGAGAGAGTGCTTGCTTTTATCCCGTCCCCTGATCATCTCCTTCAACAAGATCAGGACCAGATCCAGAACAGGGTCCGCCACTCCAGTTCTCTGTACCCGAGTGCTCATTCACCAACTGACCAGTCCTCGCGCTCCCCTTCCAAAAGGGGACAGCTCCTCCATCTCCCATAGCCCCACGAACAATGTTGTACAATGCAAATCGATTTCCTTTCTTTTTCCCGAACCAGACCAAACCAGCCAGCCAGTAAAAGTACAAAAAACTCCTTCATTACCCCTAAACCTAAGGCGAGTGTGTGCTGATTTGATGTGCCGCACGCAAGCAAACATGATGAAATAGTGTTGTGAAAGGCGCTCTCTCTCTTTCTCTCTTTCTCTCTCTCGCTCCCTTTCCCTCCTTCCCTCTGCTTAAGCAAAGAGCTCCCGGGTATCCAAGACGTCCTTCTCCGCCTTGGCCTGCGCCGTAAGAGTCTCGAGCTTGCCGAGTCTCTCCTTGACTTGCTCCGTCCTGGCGTTGTGCCTGGTGGCCTTGGACTTGCGCAGCTCTGAGCGCACGTGGTTGGGCGAGATGAAGCGCTTGTTCTCGTAGATGATGGGGCCGCCGAACGCGCCCTCCTGTATGACGATGGGCGTTAGGACGAACCGGGGTCCGATCTCGACGAGGCTGACGTCTGTGTCCTTGAGCTCCGCGTTGGGGGCGCCCTTTCTCTTTTTCGATGATGACTTGTCCTCAGGAATGTCGTTTCCTTCGCTGTCCTTCTCGCCCTTGGCCTTCTCCACCTCCCGGATCTCGTAGTTGCGCACCCAGATCTTGCCGTCGGCGATGCTGAAGCTCATGACGTGATCGATAAACGGTTTTGACTTGCGCGCGCCCTGGGGAACGCCAAACATTTGCAGGAACACCTCCTTGATGACGCGGTAGTGCGGCTCTTGCTCGAAGGCGCCGTCGAAGGAGAGGAGTGGCCTGGAGCCCTTGAGGCAGTTACCTGTGAAGTGAAGCTCTTCCATGGTGTGCACTTCGGTTGTGTTAGCAAAGAACAAACATTCATCCCTGTAGTCGTATTTTGGGAACCCGGGGAGTGCTCACAGTTTTGGGCATGGAACTTGACAGTAGGGCCGTTGGGAACCTTGCTGAACCACATGTACAAATCCTTGCCCTTGCGCGCCTCGAAGAACATGACGTTGTTGCAGTTGTAAAGCTCGGCGAGCTCGTTCAGTTGGTAAAGCTTGGACTTGGAATCGAACTTGACGTCTTTGCGGCCGTGGGGGAGCATCGCTGCGAGATCGTTGAGGAGATGTCTGTGTCTGTGATCGGGGCGCAAAAGGAATTAGCATCTTGCAGCTGATCCTTCTTTTTCTTCCATCCTCCATGTATGTAGGGGCCATATGTACCTGTAGGTAACGCCTCTGGACGAGAGAATCAGAACTCTCTGCTTGTTCTTGCGGAAGCCGCCATTGGTGGTGGTGGTGTTGTTGTTCTCCTCGGTGTCCTCGACCTTCTTGGCGCTCTTGGAGAGCGACTTGTAAACGGCAGCCATTTTCTGTTTTGTTCTTGTAGTCGTTCTTTGGGTATCAAAATCGGGCGAAAGACAAGCGTGACTAAAGTTGGTGGTTGTGGTTGAAAGTATTGACAGAAAACAGAATGCGGATCGCGAAAGGTGAATTCAATGCCCCATCCACGAACGTCGGCGGGCGAAGCGCAGTGCAGGCCGTTCTCAAAAAAGTTCGCCGGCCAATGGCAGCCCCACTCTGATAAGCTGTTCTTATCTTAGCGCCCCTGTCCTGCTTGGAACAGCTGAAAGGCTGTGAAGGCAGTCGGCGGTCTGGGCAACCTGCATTTGTCCCACTGATGGACCTGGAATCCGGACCCCCAAATCCTGGGGATTCCACTGTCAAAGTTCCACGCGTTCTTCTTGTCCGCCCGCCCTGGGGGTGACGGGACTGGCCTGTCCGCAACCCAAACCCACTCCTGACGGCCTCGGGTGACGCGAATGATGACGGTCATCATAATCCACCAGGCAAACCAAAATGTCTTGGAAGAAATGTCACTATCGTATTCTCCACGATTCCCGTTACGTACTCCTCTTCTCCCATATTGTGGATGTGGGGATGCAAGGGGAAGTTGTCAACATGGAGCAGTAAAAGGTCAAGTTAAAGGGGCGTTTACCCCCATAGTTCATTTCAGCTAAATAATACCTTTCGTAACCCATGCGCAAGTGATGGCTTCGTTAACCGCATTGAGGAAAATTCCAAACGACCAGCACGGGGGAAAAGGGAAGAAAGGGGTAGTAGTAGTAATAACAACAAAAAGGAAAGGCTGGAAGACGAGCATCCCTTCCCCCCTCCCCGAAAGCCCAAAAAAATAGAGAGAAAAAGAGAAAAACAGACCATCCCATCGGCGACCGTGATTGTAATAAGACTGGGCAAGATCCGTCCGTAACTTTTCCCCCGATGCTGCTCTTCATTGTTCATAATAAGCCCCCCATTGCTTCATGTCAGACATATGTGACGCCGTTGTTGGTTCGGCACCCTGTTGTACCCTGCTGCACCCTGCACCTCAAGCCTTCATGGCCACTCGGTTCCCGGTCCGGAGAATCAAGCACCTCCTAACAGCAGCCAGACTTCGCCTGAGGGTCGTTCGCGGTCTGGCTGAGCGAGATGCTCTGGCCGGACAGGTTTTGGTGGCCCTCGGTGGACCCGCTGGGGCCGTTGTCGAAGTTCTTGGTTGACACGATCTTGTAGATTTCTGAACAAAGGATCGCATATTAGCGCTAGGTTCGCGCCAAAGAAGCAGCCGTGGGGACTTGGAGAGACATTACCAGTCAAAATGTTTTGGAACGCAAGCTCAACGTTTGTGGCGTCGAGAGCCGAAGTCTCGATAAAGGATAGATGGTTTTCCTCTGCGGTTCTCTGTCAGTTTTTGGACTACGATACGGCTTTCCCGAGCAACAATGTCGTCATTGCTGTAATGGATGCGCAACAACACGTACCGGCAAACTTCTTGGCGTCCTCTGTGGGCACGGCTCTCAGATGCCGCAAATCGCTCTTGTTACCCACAAGCATGATGACGATGTTCTGGTCGGCATGGTCGCGCAGTTCCTTCAGCCATCGGTTCACGTTCTCAAACGTCACGCCCTTGCTGATATCGTAGACGAGGAGGGCGCCGACAGCACCGCGGTAGTAGGCAGAGGTGATGGCGCGATAACGTTCCTGGCCAGCAGTATCCCAAATCTGTGCCTTGATTGTCTTGGAGTCGACCTGGATGGATCTGGTGGCAAACTCTACGCCGATGGTGGACTTGGAGTCGAGGTTGAACTCGTTACGGGTGAATCGACTGAGAAGGTTGGACTTTCCAACGCCCGAATCTCCGATGAGGACCACTGGTAGCGGGATCTGCAGTCAGTAACTGTTTGCCGTCGTCATCGTCGTCGCCGTCATCGCATCGTCGCGATTACTTGATAGCTTCGGGAAAGGGGTATGTTTGTGGTACCTTTGAAGAGAAACTGTGACAAGTCAGCGGCTGGTTAGCGCAAGCTGGCGGAATAAAGGGGGTACTGAAAGTTGGATTGAGGGATGATGGACGATAGGCAGGCGAGGGTAAGAAAGAGGAGGGGGGCTTACATCGTACTCGTCGTTGGCCATGGTTGCGGTATGTGTGATTACAGAGGCGCTGGAGGCAGAGGGTATTGCTGGAAATCGGGAGAGCTGGTGATGGGGTGAGGCAAGGTCTGGCAAGTGTGGTTGTCGCGCTGATGGTTGTACTGTATGCACACAAAGTGTCAAAGGCAATGCGATGTAGTGTTTGATGGTGTCCAGGAGAGACAGGGCAAGGAGGGCGGTGCGGCTCCCCTCGAGTGGGTCCGAGTTTTTAGCTAAGGGGAACAGAGGAGTGCGGTGCAGCCCAGTGGGTGCTGCAGTGGAGGGAACGAATGACGGGAATGGAATGCGCCTGAACTCCCATCCTCACATTGGACGCTGAGCCACGGCCGGGCACCTCCACGGGCATGAATGGATTGGACCTGTCAATGGACGCGGGCTGCAAATGGACGCGGGCTGCAACTGCGTAATATTGGAGGGTCACAGAACTGCGACAGTAGCGTTAATGGTGGACTGAATGGTGCGGACAATGGTGGGCCAACATCCAGGGATTGCGAACAGCTTTGTCTATTCCAGGACAAAGTGGAAGCTCATTCAGGTACAAAGCGCCAGACCAAGTACATACCTGGGAGATGAGTGTCTATGGTACCTACCCTTTACCTTCTTCAGGCAACTTACCTAGGTGGTCAATGTGACGCGAGGAAAAGAGATAAGACGCCGTGGACGATATGGCAAATCCACGCATGAGCAATTGCCATGACGATGCTCGAATACATAGACTCGATGTAGTACATAGTAGGTACCTTTATCCATCCAGGTCCAGATCCCTTCCAAATCTGATCGCCCACCTAGGTGCAGTGGGTGAGTGTCCGTCGTCTTCTTGTTCCTTCCTTCCCACTTCCACTCCCTCATATCATGCGCTCTCCCATTCCATTCGCATTGACTTCAATACTTGTCTTCTCCTGTCTTAAGGTTCCTTGCCAAGGCAAGACCGCAGATGGTCTGGCCTAAAGGGGCTTTTGCACAGCGAGACAACAGCTTACTTTCACGTGCACAGACGTCCATGCTTGTTGCTTGGTAGACCAAGGGCCGTTCAATATTAGTGTAATTATACAACTAAGTAGAGGTAGCATCAAGAACCTCATATCCATGGACACGGACGTATATGATACGAAAGCCACATGCGCTAAAGCGTACAAACATGATACCCAAAGACGGTGGGCATGGTCTCTATTGCTATCTCTTTGTACAATTGTCTTTCCTAGGTAGCTTTGTATGCTAACTCGCTGCTAACTGACCAAGCACACAAGTAAATCTAAAGCATCAAATATTCAAAGGTACACGGGTGATAGAAGAGCGGACTATTGTACCAGACCAAAGAAAACTCCAAGTCCGCTTCAATGACGAGGCATTCCAATTGGCTGAACGATTACCAAGTCACTCTTTCCCTTTCTTTATGTAAACGGCTCCTTACAGTACGGTACTCGCACCTTCCTCACCCAGATACTTCCACTAGTACTTGACAACCAATTCACCTACAAGGCACCAGGGAGAAATAGTGGGGTGGGTCACTCTAAACCCCACCTTCAACCACCTCCAGTCCGTCGAGTCTTTTTGTTCATCGCCTATAAACTCCCTCCGTCTTGTTTTTCTTTTTCTTTTCCTCCCTTCCCAACTTTCAGTCCCCCAAGACGACTTTTTCTCCAACGTCCATCTGCAATCGGCTTACAATATCATCGACAAAGTTGAAGCTCAGTTCAGAAACACATATCCGAATACAGCCTGGTCCTCGCTCCGCTGGAGGAAAGGTACATGGCACATTGACAATATCGTCACCAATCATCATCCGTCATTTTCTCGAGTTTACCCATCAAGCGGTTCTCACTTCTACCGTCAAGTCTCAGTCACTCAACGAGCATCTGATATTTTGTTGATATCATACCACCCAAAAACCATATCGACTCGTCAAAGCTTTAACAAGTACCGTCTTTACTTGACAGTCATCCAGGCAACACCCATAGCTTCGTGGCTACCACAGCGAGGACCCCGAGTGACGGGCATAGGGGCTATGACCCCTCTGCTGCTCTGAACCTCGGCCTCGACAGCTTGTCAATATTACAACTCGGCCGCCCTTCTTTTTCAGGCTACTACTGCGGCAGTCCTCAAACCCCTCAACATGTTCAAAAACGTGGGCCGGAGAGCGGAGAGAGACTCAACTCACTCGACCTCTGCCGTCAACAACGAGGATGATAACATCTCTCTAGCTTCAACGGTATCCGTGCAACACGACTCCGATGAGGAATTTGATGTCGAGGACGTCCTCTGTGAGGCAGAGGGCGATGATGGCAAACCAACATTTTTGGTCAAGTGGGAACGCTACCCGCTATATCAATGCACATGGGAGCCCGAGCACAACCTGGGTGATGAACTCATGGAGGTGTGGAGGGAGAAGAAACGGAGGCAAGAGGCTGGAGAGGAAGAGGCATTTGATGTGCGAGTGTTCCATGCAGCCTGTGACAAGGCTGAGGAGGAAAAGACCGACCGTCATCGCCGTCGCAACGCGAAGAGGAAGAAACTAGGTCTCCCGTTGACCGAGCCTTTCGATAGCTCAAGCTCAGAATCAGACCTAGACAATGTCAGGGTCGAGTTTTCTGGTGAATCCAGCGACGAAGCTTTGGAACGAGACGAGCCTATCTCCAAGGACGACCAAGAACCACGCTTAACCAAGAAGAGTAGTACGCGCCCGCAATCAGAGACAAAGCCCCAGCAAAGATCATTCAAAGGCATTGCTCAGCCTGTACTGAAATCGGTCACGGCCACCGCCACTACACGAAAATCCATGTCTCTCGAACCCAAACCTAAAGCCTCGCTAAAATCTAGTTCCGAAGCCCCGAACAGGCCTTCCGCGCCGCAACCGTCGTCTTCCAAACCTCGACCTGAACGGAATATTGTGTCAACAACTGGCTACCAAGGAACTGCGAGGAAGCCTGTGGATCGACCACGGCCTAGTAGCTCAAATGGGTTGACTAGGCCACTGCTCCAATCGACCCGTACCGCCCCTTCGATTGCGTCTCGATCTACGGCTGCTGGCGTTCGGAAACCTCTCACTGCCAAAAGAACGGCTGTTAAGAAGAACGTCAGTGTGAACATCTTTGCTGCAGGCAAAGTCAGAAAGGCGCGGAAGAATCTTAAGGAGGTAATGGCAGACCAAATCACAGCTCCAAAGCTTTTTGGGAAGCATCGTTATCGCCGAATGGCCGAGAAAGGCGGCAGAGATAAAGAGGATCGTGCTCCCGATCTATCGACAGCAAATATCCAACTATTCAAGATCAAGGAAGGCCCGACAGGAAGAAAGATCTCGGCAAGCGCAGCATCGTCATCAAGCACGCCTATCTTGGCCCCAGCTGATCAAACCACCGGGACACGGGTCGAAGCAGAAGCCGAGACCTCAGCTGGACTTGAGCTCCACTCGGACGAACCGACACCCGTGAATAGCCAGGAACTGTCTTTTCGATTCAAGGATCCGCCCCCTCCCAGAAGAAAATCTGCTTTGGCAAAATCCAAATCCGATGGAGGACAGCCGAAGGAACGCAAATCTGTCCGTTTCGTGCCTGGCCATGATAAGACCACAATTTTTCAGGAACCGGAAGAGATGGATGTTGATGGGTTGTTCGCTGAGCCCGACCATATAACGCCAACCACGCCCACAAACTCGACACCTCACCAGCGTATGCCCAGCCCAGATCCACCGCCTGCCACTGCTTCTGCCAGCGAATCTGATGACGGGGTGCCCAGGGGAAACCTGAACAAGAGACTGTTGATCAGCGAGATCCCCCCCTTCGAGGTCACATTTCACGATGTGCCGCGAGATAACCATCAGTTGTGGGCTGCACATTTTGGCAAGCAAAAGTCTTTTGAGTTTCGACTAAGCTGTCTTGCCCAAACAGCAGTGGCACAGATGAAGCCTCCTCTGTTCCAAAGGCGCCTGGCCAAAGGAGCTGTGACGTCTGAAAACAAAGAAGCTGTGGAGAGGCTTTCACAGCAGCTCAAGACACGACTGATAGGTCTATTTTATTCAACCCGGCATTATAACCTTCTCATTTATCCCACGAAATGTGAGGAGTGGCAAATCCAATCGTTCGGCCAGGAGGTAGCAACTGGCTTAACTGCAGCGCTCTGTTATGTTATGTTCTCCTCAGATATGGACTGTGGAAGTATGCTCAGACCGCTAGACCTTCCGCTGGCGTTACCAGAGACGAAGGGAAAGGTAGTGCCTACCATGGCGTTTCTGATGAGTAGATTGTACAAATTCGATTACGATCAACTTTTACCAAGAAAGCCTCAAATTCCAAAGGTACACAAGTTCTTTCTCGCTTTCCCTGAGTCGGGGACTGGGAAAGCCACCCGTTCGGTAATTTTTCAATGGCTGCGCTCTTGCAACCCCGACTGTCACATATACATATCAAGTCAACCTGGTTCTTGGGATGCGTTCAGAGCCAGTGTATCCCAGTCATCTGGCGTTGTCATCATCCACGAGACGTTGATGTGGAGTCTTCGGCGGTTCCCAAAGCTTTCCGAGTATATGATCAAGAAACTCGACGAATACTGGTGCTTTACGGAGCCAAGCGAAGCATACCCCTTATATCCGTCAATGTCGTTGCCGGAAAGCGTTCCCCCCGGGATCGGTCAACTCAAGCGCATATTGCCATTCCGTACGGCAATCCTGCTTACCCCGAGCTTTCTCGTGTCCGAGTCTGAACACACTCGTGAGTTTCTCGACTGGTTCTTGAACCGATGGGGTGACTCCTTCTACTATCGTCTGGTGACGGCCTCCAATATCCACGAATACCTTCAAGATGTGGCACAAGAAAGTTTCGATGCGCGCGAGAGGCTGTGGGAGGTGGGTCCGGGTCTTGGAATGTCTTCCATAGATATTTATCTCGAGCTCAACCTACGAGGACATAGCTCTGATGAATGCGGATCTAGGCTCCAAGCCGCCGTCTTGGCTTCTGAACTGCACGGAATACGCGCCAAAAAGCTCGACTCCTCCGGTGGAATAGATGTGGACCACAGCCCGCTCATCTATGCGGATCCCTCCATCGACCCAAATGACGAGCAAAGCCTGGTCAACTGGTTCGGCTGGTGGTCAACCATGCGAGCTGATCAGTTTCGAAAGTTCCATGTCATCGGATCGTGTGGTAGCATCGGCTATAATAACAAGAAGGGAATTCGAACGGTCCGCATTCCAAAATATCTCAGAACAACAATCAACGATCCAGACGCGGTAGCAGAGGTTGTGCAGTCAGAAGCATCGCAGAATCTCCAGGTACCAGCACACAAACTGCCTCCCAGCGATCCGGCAAGCGTGGCAAGCGGTTTGGAGTTGACTGGCCCTTTCCAAAGCGATATACTACCCAATGACCACGGGGAGACCATTCAAGCCTACCTTTTCAGCAACTTTGGTGCGGGGCAATACAGAGTGCTGTTTTATGGGTTTCCTGTGACTTGGGTTGATCCAGACATGGCGAAATGCTACGACGATTATATCCTCAAGAACAAAAAGACGATCCGCGACTGGTTCAGTTACTTGTACGGGTTCAGCTATAAAAACAACACCTACATGGGCCTTTTTTACACCATTTCGGACGAGTGGGATCCCCAGAAGCCTCCACAAAATTTGAATCCTAGATGGCATCCTTGGCTTGCCATCCTCAGGCCTGTCAACCTCCATCACCAACCTTATCAGGCGTGCGAGCTTATTATATGGGATCCTCTTGCGAGGAAACGGTTTCCGGGCTCAGAGGCTCCGCTAGAAAGCGAGCTTACTGACATGCAGCGACGCGTCATTAAACATGTCCGTGATAATTGCGGTTCGAAGGGTCAGGGAATGTACCTCAAGCAGGTCTGGCTCGGCGGGTTCGATTACCCGCCTGAATGTGAATCTCGTTACCCCCTCGACATGACGTTGAAGTTCACCAGCACAATGCTGCAAGATCTTAAGGAACATCTTCCAGCACCGCAGAACCGGCTGCCGAGAAAAGGGTTCAGGAAAATTCTGAAGGAGCACCCACCGACCAACAAGCCGATGAATGGTGCAAGCCTAGACAGCGACGACGACGTTCTCATGGATGTCGATAACAACGACGGCTGGAACGACGAAGACGAGGATGTGCGCATCATCTTCCATCCACCCCGGGGCACCAAACTCCGCCCTGGTTCCCGCTCAAAATGCACCAACAGGCTCTACGAGGAGGCGCGTCTCGCCAGGGCCAGGGCCGCTTCGAACCCCAGGTCCTCCTCTCCGGACCATATGGAGTTCAAGTTCGTCCCAACACTTCAATGGTATGAGGACCAAGTCGCAGAGGGGCGCGGCTTTGAACACATCAACATCCAGACGTGGCAAGACATCTTCAACCACTTCCAAATAGGAACGGCGAAGGGTAGCAAGGTGACAGCAGCAGCAGCGAAGGCTCCAGCGGTAATGAATCGTGGTGGTGGAGACAGAGAAGGAGATGTTCAGATGACCGGCTAAGGAAGCGGCGAGTCGAAGATATCAACTACTACAAATACGTTCAGCAAGAAGAAGTCGGAGCTGGTCGTTCACAAGGGTGTGAGGTTTCTCCGCCCTAAATGCCCGAATCGAGTCACGCCTTGGCATCTGTCGAAAGACAGCAAAAGATTGCCAGTTTCCAAGGGCGAAGGGCAAAAGCGGGAGGGCGGTGGCGGGTGTATGGCTGCTAGAGCAGGTGTTCGAAAAGCTAGGGCAGCTGGGACGAGAGTCACCTTACAATCGTTGGCAAGGTCTGATTTGAACACTCGCTCCGTGTAACGAGTATTACTGCAGTGGGTTTGGTTCTGGCTATTCAGTGAGGGACAAAGGTGTCATTTGTTGAATGCTTGGGATCATAGAACTTGTAAGGGTTACGGAAATGTACGTTTATAAGCGTGTACTCAAAATATATATCGTTGTGTGGGGAGGTAGGCGAGGGGAAAGTATTAGTATTTACATCAGTTTGTTATGTTAAAACACTCCGACACAAGTCACTCAATCGTATGAATTGATTTTTCTACCATCATCCCTTATCGAATTCACATCCAATACCTTCCGTGACATGGACTTCCTGTTCTAAATCTCCCCTTCATCCAAGACGTCGTATCGCTTGTCCATCCCCATGTCAGCCACGCCCAAACATCAGTATACCCTAATTCTGCGGCGGCACCCCAAACCATTCAGCAAATGGATCATACCTCCAATCCATCACCGGCTCATGCTCAATCGCTCCGGCGATCAGATCCGCCATTGCCACTCCATCCGGATACATCTGTCTGACGAACTCGAACGTCAAATCCAATCCTGACGTGACTCCCGATGAAGTCCAGATGTTGTCGTCAACCACCCATCGAGCTGGCGAGACCCTGTTCATCACATCGTTAGCATATGTTTTCTTTGCCGCGGCACTTCCACTACTTGAAAGGAACGAGACCCTGTTCATCACATCGTTTAGCATATGTTTCTTTGCCGCGGCACTTCCAACTAACTTAGAAAGGAAAGAAAAAAGAAAAAGAAAGAAAAAGAAAAGAAAAAGAAAGAAAAAGAAAAAGAAAAGAACATACCACTTAACCTTCTCCCCCAAAGGCGTCACCTCCCCCCAAACCATCTTATTAGTAGTCGCCCTCCGTCCATCCAGCACGCCCGCCCTAGCCGCCACCGCAGCCCCGTTACATACCGTCACCAAGTATTTATCCTTCCTTTCCTTTGTATCGTTTCTTTCCCCTCCAACACCAATACCAACACCAAATTCATCTCTCATCCTCCTCAAAAACTCCAGCTCCCCACCTCTTTCCAAGTCAGGATTATACACCCCCATCCCACCGGGAACTAGCAAAACATCCACGCTCTCCAACACTTTTCTCATGTCAGGGTCGTTCCACTGCTCTTCACTAGTGGGGATGGCATGCGTGGGGTTGAAGGTCGGATAAAACGAGCTGTTTTGGGGGTTCATGGACGGTAAAGTCGGGGATGTCAGGACTGGTGCTGGTGGTCCTGAACGAGAGAAGATGAGTAGACGTAAAGGGTGGAAGTGAGACACGAATTGGAGGATTTCTATGGGTCCGTAGGCGTCGAGGATCTCGAAGGAGCGGAAGAGGAGGAGGGCGTAAGTTTTAGGGAAGGAGTAGGTTGTTGAGTTGGTGTTGGTGTTGCTGGCGGGGGCTGGGAAGCCTGTGGTGGTTTTTAGGTTGATTCCATGTCCCTTGGTTTTGGATAGGGCTGCTTTGAACTTCGGGAGCAGGTTGGAGTCGAGTTGGGGGAGGATGGAGGCTGTGGTTAGGTGGAGGAGGGTGAGGACTGTGGTGAGGAAGGTGAGACGCATCTTGGGTGTCTGGGTGGGTGTGTAAGTTGTCGGTAGGTAGTGTTGTTGGTGTTGTTGGTCGTTTGGGCAGTAAGGCAGTTGATGATGGTTTTGGGATTCAGGGAAAGTCCATAGGAGGGAGTGATGCCCATATATATGCATCCTTGATATCTCACGCTCCAGCAAAAGAAGAAGGACGGTCCTCTCATAATGTTCTTCTGCTCCGAGCTCAAAGAACTATGGGAGCTTACCAGATCTCTTCCTCGTTACCAGATCACCGAGTTAGCTGAGTTCAGACAGTAAGGTCAACTTGATCTTCCCAGTCCAACACATACCACCCAGCGGCCGCGGAATCCATGCATGCCATTCCATTCAGAGACGGTCTACCATACAAAGATCGGATTCTGGCAAAGACGTGAGCAGATTCAATCTAAAATGAGCTCAATTCTTCTCTTGACGAACAACTGGGTGTCTCGGGTTTTCATGACACCATACCCACCTAGCACGGTGGTTACCCGACGATAACACTTGGTGTTGAAGAACCCGACATGTGACTGATTGAGCAAGTATGTATGTGATCCGAAAGCGAGTACTTATCGACCTGCCAGTTACACATGAAAAAGTCCCAGCTTCCCGGGAATAAATCACATACCTAACTTCCGATGCTGAACGGTATTAAAGCTGTCATGCCGCCGCCTCAAGCCGCGGGATGTCAGCCTGTGCCTTTGGGGTACCGGGAGATATAGATTAAGGCTGTGTAGCCATCGACCTTGACAGCCGCTGTAGAGGTAAGCTAAAGATCCCACTCCAAGGATTTCTAATCCAGAGGCATCGAGAGATGGAGACTCAGTGACATGAAAGTAGAAGCGAACCGTCCCGCTCGGAACTTGAATAGCTCAGATAAGACACAGGTCCGAGCCGCGAAGAAACTCGCTCATAAGAGCTCAGTCTCATGGAAGGAAGGGGCGCTAGAAAAACATCATGTGGGAAGCGGTTGGGAGCACCTTTCTCTAGAATCCTTGCTCTGGCTTCTGGACTTGTGAATGAAACGGATAAGAGCTTCTTACAATAGATCCGATAGCTTCTTCAGATATTATTGGCGTCGGCCATACTGACGATGTGGTGTCAAGCTTGCCAGAAACTAGAACCGCCTGTCAAGACTAACGGGTTAGGGTTATACCCGTCGTCTCGCTCTCACGAATGGCTTCATCCACTTCTCTTTCCATCTCATCTCTCACTCCTTCAGGTTGGCACACCAGCACCTGCTAACGGCCGATCCTAAAGTCTATAATCATGAGTAGGGATTGACGGTACCCACGAAGGAATAACAAAACAACAAATTGGTAGTAAGGTGGTTGACGGTCTACCGCACCGGACCAGCTGAACTTGGTTCTCTCGTTCTGCGTTTCGTCTTTGCTCGCGCCGGAAGTCGTAGTCAGGAAGTTGAGTTCGCAGTCCACCTGCCCATGCACGAGTATGAATTGCCTATGTTGAAACATTCGCGGAATGTTGATATCGAGACATGATTACAATGGAAACAAACATGACAAAATCGCAAGGACAACGAGCAGCAAGCGCTACCTCTACCGCCCGTACCCCGCCGTTCCTGGCGGGCAGCCCCCAACAGTGCACGAGCCGCTACAAGGCCCACCCAACGGGGGACCTCAGCACCTTCCAGATCCACTATCCGCTGACCGCCCAAAAGTTGCCGACACCGCCTACAGCTCGCTGTTCGGCGCATTGCTAGCCGTACGTCATGTCATGTTGACTTTTGTTCCATCTTCATCTTCCAACATCTCATATCTCCTTCCACTCAGACCGAGAGAACTCAGCCGGCTTCTATTCAATCATACCTACGCCTCAGAGGCTAAACACGGCGAAGTAATTCCAAACCTGAACCTTTCTCCATCATCCGCCTAAAAACGAAAACACCAAAATACCAAAACAGCCTACCGTGATCCCAACCCCTATCTCCCGTCACATCCCGAAACATCCGAACCACAACACCACCACAAAGAACATCCTCAAAAAAATGGCCCGCAACTACTTCTCCCCCTACGCCCCCCGGCGCCGCTCCAACCGCATGGTGCTGATCTGGGTCACCCTCTTCTTCTCCATCATCTTCTTCATGTGGTGGGTGCAGACGCGGCACCGGGATGCGGCGCGGGCGTACGCGGACGTGTTTATCCGGGGTCCGAGCATGGAAGGGGATTATAACAGGAGGAGGTTTGGAGGGGGGAGTGGACGGATTTTGGAGGATGCGTAAAAGCGACTTCCAAAGGTGCATACTAAGGGAACTGGTCCATTTTCCCATCTGTCACTGGCGGTCATCCATACTCTCTGGGGGCCTTTTTTTTTTCCTGGCGAGGAATGGGGATGGCATGCGACAGGGCTGAGCTGGGTGGGAGCAGAAGGGGAGAAAAAAGAGATGGATGGAAGAGGTCCGGAAGAAAGGGCTACGATATATATCGGTACATCGAAAACAACAGAAAAACACGACTCGGAGCGACGAAACGAATCTGGTGGTTGGAAGAATACTTGGAGGGTTAAGGGGCTTGCGGGATTACACCAGCACCACAGGCAGGCACATAAGGTAGTCTGAACCCCCTCACTCGGCTCGCAGATTCCCACGCCCGAGGATTCTTTCTCACCGGCTACGACGTGTCCTCAAACCCGGAGCTTCCGTATCCTCTCGGGGTGCTTCTCGAGGTTGATAAGACTGTTTCGACTTGTCAGTTCGGGAAACGAGAGCATGGTACTTCACGAGCCACAGTCATCAGGAGAGAGGTCGGTGGATGAAAGCCCAAGTTCTTGAATAGGGGTCATGGCGGCCACAGAGGAGCGAGCGTATCCGACTCTTTGGCGATGACTTGGCGGAGGCATTGAGGACTAGTCTACCCGCGAGATGCGTATACCAAGATGTACAACTCAAATAATGTTTTATTATTGGGCCTGAGAGCCCAGCTACTACTCATTTTGCTCTCTCTCTCTCTCTCTCTCTTTCTCTCTCTGGTTCGTGCTGGTTTGGGCAGTGGCTTAACTGTATTCTTTTGATCGCACATTCCAACCGGCATCGGCCAATGGCACCAGGCTCTTGTTATGATATGATTGGGTGGAGAGTCTACCGAGAGTTTGAAGAACATGTCATTTCTTCAAAGCAGTCAGTGTGTTTTGGATATCGAAAAATTCATGGGGCGTCCCCAAAAAGCTGGAGAGCAGAAATCATATATCATGGCCATGATGATCTTCTGCATAAACACATCAACTACACCTACCGTATCATACATACACTCGACAGATCGTCTCTGCTACGCTACGTCCTGTCTGTCTGTCTGTCTACCTAAGCTCAACACCAAGCTTCTCCACCAACCCCTGCCTGACCCGCTCATGGAAATCGTTGGCCTCCTCGTTCGTCAGAGTCTTCTCCAAGCTCCTATAGTTGATTCTGTAGCACATGCTCTTTCTGCCTGTCTTGGGATGAGTGAACTGGTCCTTCAGCTGGACATCCTCCACCACATCACCAGCAACATCACGCACCACCTCCATCAGGTCATTCTCGTGGAAATCGTGGGCATTGGCCACGGCCGTGTTTCCGCCCGCCGCGGACGTCGACCGCAGCCAAAAGGACACGTCCTTCCAGCAGGCCGGATACTTGGAGAAGGGAACGAACCGCTTCAGCTTGTCAAGGTCATCCTGCACGCGGGCAAACTGGCTCAGGAAACGCTCGTCCTTGGACCAGAACAGACGGATGTCGGGGATCTGGAACAAGAGCATGGCGATGCGCTCGAGACCGATGCCGAACGCCCAGCCGAGCTGCTGCGGCTGGTCGGCATTGATGAACAGCTCCTGCTTGCTGACACCGCAGCCCAGCACCTCAAGCCAGTCGCCCTGGTAGTACACCTCCATCTCCCACGAAGGCGATGTGAAAGGAAAGTAGGCCTCAATCCAACGGACGCGCAGCGGCTCATCGACGTAGTTGGGATCCAGACGAGCGGCGGCCTGCTTGGCACGGGTGAAGATCTCGACGACCATGAGCTCGAGCGAGCGCTTGAGGTGAGCGGCGACGGCCTCGGCCTCCTCGGCGGTATGGTGCTCGCTCTGCAGCGGGTTGCGCTCCGGGTGGTGCGGCGGGTTGGGGTCCTCGACTTTCACGTCGTGCGTGGGCAGCTTGGCCAGGTCGGCGTAGATGGCGGCCACAACGTCGCCGTTGGGAACCTTGGTGCGGTCCCACACGCGGGCGCCCTCCATCTGGTGGAAGACGGGGTAGTGGCTGCGGTCGACCTCGTCGCGGCGGTAGACGTCGGCGCTGATCAGGTAGCCGTCCGAGGCGCTGGCGCGGAAGAGCTCGGCCTCGTGGGCTGAGGTGTGCGTGCGCAGGAGCGTGGTCTCGTTGATGTAGTAGGTGTCGGAGCGGGCGCGGCCGACGTGGTCGGGCGGGAAACCGAGCGAGTCAAAGTTCTCGATGGTGCTAACGACGGGGTCGAACTCATTGTAGCGCTTGTAGGTGGCTGTTGGGAACTTGGACTCGATGATCTGACGGGTGATGGCAACGGGGTGGTCTTTCTGAAGGTGAAGCTTGCGGCCGGTGAGAGCAAGGACAGTCTGGGGGACGTTGTACCATTCGTCGGTGGTGTAGGTCTTGCCATTGACTTCGATGGTGGCGGGTCGCGAGCTGTTGGAGGAGGCCGTAGAGGTAGGTGGCGGAGGGGAGCTAGCAGCACCACCTTTTTGTTTGCGTTGTTTTAGAGTCCGAGTTTGGTTAGAGCTTCTGGAAGCTAAGTAGACATAGTATGCTGACCTGCAGAGGAGGAATAAGAGGCTACTCGGAGACAATGGCTGGGGGCTTTGGTCAAGCTCAGTCTGCTGCCTCGAGCTGCTGCGCTGAGTCGCAAAAGCGAAGCCGTGGCAGAGGCCGTCGTCACACGGGAACGGGCCCCAATGCGAGGCACGACCCGCATGACATTGGCCGCGAGAACTCGTGGTCCAGCCATTGCTATGTGTAGGACGATGGGAGTCGGGTCGCGATACTTCAGGAAAGTAAACAATGGGGTGGAGGGGAGGGACCTTGCTGGCCACTGCAGCCGACAAGCACAAAAATTGCCCAATGCTCAAAATTCCCTCCACGGCTACGATGCCCGGCCCGGAGATCTGCTGGCCGGGACTTACAGGGGCCAATGGGGCTTCACATAAGGCGCCAAGCGTGACGTGTGGGGTGTTCTTCCCCAAAAAGTCCTGCATGATGACATCGTGCTGGGAATCATTTTCCATTCCCCTCTGTCCTCGGTCCCCAAATTTTCACTTTCAGCAGTCTTTTCGGGGTCATTGCTCGGTATTCTAGGGGCCGAAGAAAAAAAAAACGCCTACGGCGCTACGCCGATAACGGTCTAGACGATGGAGCCCGCTTATCGTAGGTTTTTGTTCGAGTCTTTCACACCGTTTCCCACTTCTTATTTCTTTCACGTCACGTTCGATGTTGAGTACTGTACAGGAAAAAATACAATTCGTCATCTCGTCTCGACGTTTTGGATTTGGACCTTGGGTTGGGACCTGCTTTCTCTAAATTATCAGACGAACACGTACCTCACATCTGCGAGATTGAGTGCTTCGACCCTGCATCCGTCTCTTCATATTCTTTTTTTCTTCTTTTTTTCCCACAATTTGTATCGATCGAGCTGGGATTGTTGCTTGATCTGGAATGCCTCTGTAACAAATCGACCTCTTGGTATTCTCTCGTCTCTACCGATTTCCACACTTGCTCCATAACAAGCCCCATCACAAACCGCGGACCCCTGATCGGCAAGAACCCTCGTGGACTTTTGTTCGCTCGTATATAAACAACAATGCAAGCAGCCACCACTGGCCTTAGAGGGCCTTCGCCTTCGGATTCCAAACAAACCACCGTAGCGTCTGTCACGAAACAAGCAGCGCAAGCAACCATGGAGAAACAGACGACAGCAGATAAGCCCGTGGGCACGGCGGCGACGACCACGACCAAGTCCAAGCAACAAACAATACACTATCCCTTCTGGTTCGGAGGAAGCGCCAGCAGCATGGCTGCCACCGTCACACATCCTCTCGATCTCGGTAAGTTTGTCCGTGACTAGAAGCAAATATGTCATACGTACCAACAGCACCAAGCACCAAAGAAGAACACCATCACTAACACAATTGCCTTCCCAACAACAGTCAAAGTCCGCCTCCAAATGCGCACCGGCGACGCCCCCAAATCCATGTCCGGCACCGTCCTCCATATCGTGCGCAACCACGGCATCACCGGTCTCTACAACGGCCTCTCGGCCTCTCTGCTGCGGCAAATCACCTACAGCACCACCCGCTTCGGCATCTACGAAGAACTCAAATCCCGCTTCACCACTAAAGACCACCCCGCCTCCTTCCCGCTGCTAATCGCCATGGCGACCGTCTCGGGCGTAGCTGGCGGTCTGGTGGGCAACGTGGCCGACGTGCTGAACGTGCGCATGCAGCACGACGCGGCCTTGCCGCCCTCGCAACGACGGAACTACGCGCACGCCATGGACGGGCTTGCGAGGATGACGCGCGAGGAAGGGTTCCGCAGCTGGTTCAGGGGCGTGTGGCCGAACAGCGCCAGGGCGGCGGCCATGACGGCCAGCCAGCTGGCTAGTTACGATGTGTTTAAGCGGATCTTGATCAAGCATACCCCCCTTGGGGATGACTTGGCGACGCATTTCAGCGCGAGTTTCCTGGCGGGCGTGGCGGCGGCGACGGTGACGAGCCCAATTGATGTCATCAAGACGCGGGTGATGAGCGCGAGCGGGAAGAGCAGCATCGCGCATGTGCTGGGGGATTTGTATAAGCAGGAAGGGGTGAAGTGGATGTTCAAGGGGTGGGTGCCGAGCTTTTTGAGGTTGGGGCCGTAAGTACTTCCATTTCTTTGAGTCTGACCTTTGGGGTTTATGCTAACGAGTGATACGAAACAGACAAACGATTTGCACTTTCATCTTCTTGGAGGGACATCGGAAGATGTACAAAAAGGTCAAGGGCATTGAGGAATGAGTGATCATACGTTCCTCTCCTTGAAATTTCCCCCTTTCTTTTCCCTTTCTTTCTTCACATTCCCTCCCATGTCCAGTCTTGGGAGTCTAGTCTGCCGAATAGACAGACTAGGAGCAGCAGCAGCAACAGCGGTTTTTTCTCGGTGCGTTTCATCAAAAGGTGGTTGGTTTGGGTTGTGGGTAGGGACATAATGGACGGATTTGCATAGACGAAATCTGCATTTCATGAGACCGGGTTGGTGGTTTTTCTGTTAAGAAGGTAGATGGCAACACCTCATGTCTTTTCTGTTTCATACCTTTTTTTAGATATCCTCTCATCCATCCGACATTGAACCGGCGGTGGGACTGTCACTTCGACGATGGCGTTTTGGCTTCATGTAGTTCTTTCTACCTCGGGAGTTTGGTGTTTCCTGTAGAGTTGTGTTTGAAGTAAATAGACCAGAGCAGCAAGTGTCTACCTGTCAGATTCCAAGCAAGTGCTTGTCACAAGTATCCGGTGAGAATCGTACTGTGGTTATTCTCGCTCTTTGCACTTTTGGTCCGTTTATATATATGTTTTTGGGTATTTTTTGTCCCTATTTGAAGCCACCAGACCGTGGCGACTAGATTCACCTTTTGTCTATGCCTCGCAATCGTACGATAGATCATTTGCAGGACGCCAATAGAGAAAGCTGTCCTCTTTCGCCTGTCTAGAGTATGTGGTGTCTGGACGAGGGATGCTCAATAAGATATGCTCTGGTTCCTCTCGCCCTGACTTGAATCCCTCCGGAATGCGCCTTCCCCCTCTTCCCAATTTCCCGCGCGCCATTTCTCGATTTTCCCTTTCCCCTAGTTTGACCCTAACGTGCTGACTCGTGACTGATGCAAGGTCCGTTGTCTGGCCTCGATTAATGAAATGGGTCTCAACCCCCCAATATGGTCAGATTACAGCCCCCGCAGTGAAGAACAGAGGCGCCGCGGTTGTTTAGCAGATGCTGGGCTGATAATAATGTCAGCTGTTGTGTGAATAGAGATGCATGAATCGGCATCTTGACTGAATGGTGAAAGTGTCGTGTTGTTGATTGAAGTCCGCAGCTAAGAAATCGCGCCGCATAGATATCGCAGATACCCAAAACCTCCCACACAAGACATGCGCAATGACCTCGCAAGCTGTCGGAAGAGTAATCCTCGTCGTAATGGCAGATTGCAAGCAGATGACGCTCAAGACCAAGAATTTCCGCCGCCTCCATAAGGAGTCGTTCCGTAGGGCGTTGCACCGCCCTGACCTCCCCAAGAGCTCTGGTTTCCTCCGTTTCCGTATGGCGTGAACGATCCTTGGTCGTTCCAGTTGTCGCCACCCTCGTTATAGCCTGGGCTGCGCGGTCCGTTGTATCCGTTCTCACCACCATCGGTTTCGGTAAGTTCGTGGATCAGTCCAGCCAGCTTCTGCTGGATGACCTTGATGCCTTCGGTGACAATACCGTCGGGAGAGATGGACCGGCGGTCTCGACGTTAAAGTAAAAGCGTTGTGGCACGGCATCGTAGTCGAAAGGCTCGCCCTCCTGGGGAGGCTCTTCCCAGTCGGCGTACTCCGAAGGAGGCCTGGTGAGAAAATGGTGAGCAACCAGTCACATCGAAGAAGGACAGATGAGGTGAAAATGATGGAATGTACTTACCACTCCTTCTTGGGATCCTGCTCGTACCACAAGTCGAGGTGGTGCAGCTTGTTGTGAGGATCGTACTCGAAGCCGATGGCGGCACTTGGAGCCCACTTGGAATGCTCCTTTGCGATACCCTTCTTGGCAATGCACTGGAGCTTGATCTCCTGGCCGTGACGGAGCTTGAGGATAAGGGGACCCTGCCCTTCGGGATCGTTGATGATAGGCGAGCCGAGAACTTGGTTGACGCGATCGCCAACGGGAACAAGATCGCGAGCACAGACTTGCATGATGTCGTCGCCAGTGCACTTGGCGTGAAGGTTGAGGGTCACACTGCAATGTTCACAGTACTCGTCGCAGTCGCAGTCTCGAGAATAGAGAAGTTGGTCGATTCCTTCGGCGTTGAGTGGGATAAGGCCCAGGCGGTGGGCAATGAACTCGTCAGCCAGGACGGAGCTGTTGGCCTCGATCTCGACTAGATCGATGGCAATCGTGGGAATTTCGGCAAGCATGACGCGACGAAGGGAGTTGGCGAAGCAAAGCTCGGTGTTAGAGAGCTCGAACTTGACTCGGGTGCTGTCCGCCTAGAATGATGGTTTAGAACGATGAACGAGCAGCTGAGCGCAATTGCTGCGAGCAAAAGCACACAGGACATACTTGTGAGATCTTGACGACCGGTCCCAAGGACTCGGCGTCATCCATCACCATCGGATCGTAATCCATCGTTGCGTGTTGACCGTTGATCGGTCAGTCGTCTTCGCTACGGTCGCACTCCTCGATCGTACGTTTGGTGGCGTTTGGAGATGTTGAAAACGGGGAGGAACGATTCGGGGGGTTATGGTGCGACAGAGGTTTAGTTGACGTTGAGGTGTGAGGTGGCCTTTGTTAAGGGCCGGATGATGCGAAATGCAAGTTGCGGACAAGAATCGGTTTCGGCGCGTTGACGGGTCGAGGTTCGAAGCGCCACCAGGATTCCGTCCAGTCGCACAATTCACCACGCCTGGGCCTACCGGGCTGAGCTTCAAAGCATGACAGCGGGCAGGCAAACATGAAGCTGACAAGGAATAGGCACACCTTATCTTCACATGACCTGGCGTTGGCCAACTCCATGGCGTGTGTTTAACAAAGTAAAAAAAAGGTCCATCTCCCCGCACAGAAGAGCCCCACACATGGAAACAGACCCGCCGCTGCCCGCTGGAGCTTGAAACTTTGAAAGCGGCATCGCAGACTCGATGCCCGGCAGGCAATTATGGGTCCGTTGTGGGTGATGACCCGCTTTTCGGTTCGCTCCCGCTGTGCCCGCCCAGCCGGCCGAGAGGACTGGATAATGCAGCACTCATCCCACTGTGGGAGACTGCGAGGCCCCTGTTGGCCGCCCAACCCGCCGCCCCTCCATGCCGTCCCCGTGCCGTGCTAGCGCAGCTGTCTCAAAATTTGTTGAAAGTGCCTCTCCAACACGCGACCTTTCCCTGTCCCGGACATCGCCAGATCTTACCACCCGTCACATCCAGATACCCAGCCAAAATGCTACGAACAGCCCTCACCCGCTCCTCCAGAGCCCTCTGCTCCGGCACCCGCGTTGCCGCCCAGCGCCCATTGCTTCCCAGATCTTCCAGATGCAGGCTGCCCGGACAGCTGCTCCCCAGCTGCGTTCCGCCGCCCGGTGGTACAGCGCCGAGGCTGAGGGTCAGAAGAAGGCCGACGAGGGCGCCGAGAAGAAGGAGGGTGAGGCCGATGATGGCGTTGCTGCCCTTAAGAAGCAGCTCGAGGCCAAGGATGCTGAGGCCCGCGAGTGGAAGGTTGGTTCTTGAGCTGCAACACATGTCTCCAAACAGCTATGGTGGACAAGCCACTTACACAGGATGCCCCCTCTCTGCAGGACAAGTGCCTTCGCACCGTCGCCGATTTCCGCAACCTCCAGGAGCGCACCGCCCGCGACGTCAAGCAGGCCAAGGACTTCGCCATCCAAAAGTTCGCCAAGGACCTCGTTGAGAGCGTCGACAACTTCGACCGCGCCTTGAGCGTCGTTCCCAAGGAGAAGCTCAAGTCCGAGGAGAAGTCCGAGCACCTCAATGACCTGGTCAACCTGTACGAGGGTCTCAAGATGACCGAGAACATCCTCCTCCAGACCCTCAAGAAGCACGGTCTCGAGCGCATCGACCCCGATGGTGAGGTCTTCAACCCCAACGAGCATGAGGCCACCTTCATGGCCCCCATGCCCGACAAGGAGCACAACACCGTCTTCCACATCCAGCAGAAGGGCTTCAAGCTCAACGGCCGCGTCCTCCGCCCCGCCCAGGTCGGTGTCGTCAAGAACAAATAAATGTCTTCCATCCGTTTCTTCCGGCAACCACGAAAAAAGGCTGGGCAGAGATTCTGGGCATGGGCTTGGCAGGACAGGGCAGGATACCCTGAGGTGTCATGACATGTCACGGCATGGCAACAAGCCATGAAGAAAAAAGTGTTCAAGCGGCTCAACATACAGCCAGGGAAACTAAAAGGAAAATAAAGAAAGAGAAAAGGGGCTCGACTGTAATAAGCCCCGTGTACAACATCCAACAAAGGCGAATTGTGTGCAACATCAAAATATGCCCCCGCGCAGGAACCAAAACGGCGTTTCAAGGTCTCTTTTACAAAATCTCATGTATTATATAATGCCTCCTCTCTGGTTTTCTTTTGGGTTTTGAGAAAGCATATACCACAACAACTGAAGCGTTGCTTGTGAAGGGGAATGGGCAAGCGGGACAAGAAGGATATAAAACGATTTTTGGGCGTATATTTGAGAGACATTCTTACCGAACTACCTGTTTACCAACTACATCACTTGTCATCTGTCAACCCTATGTACTGCTGAGTATGAAGAAGAGCTTCGGGACAATCAGGCTCCAGAAGTTGCATGCCTCTCTACTCCTTCCTACTTGAGTCGAACCATGCAGTCGCAAAACAAGACGAAACGCCTGGTAAAGACTTCTCGTGAAGTCTCATGACAACCAAACTTCGTAACCATTTACGTAAACCCAAGCGAACTTACGTAAAATACCAAACAGAATTTTCTTCGACTTCCATCTCGGCATCCAAGCTACTTAGGTATCTACAGTAATTGCAAGTTGATGTTGTACAAAAAAGACACACAGGACGAGCACTCTGGTCCAAGGGCCGAGGCGCTCTTACACATGACTCGGGAACAAGACTGGCTGTCTGTCTATCTTATCTACTGACTAGAAAAAAACGAAAAAAAAAAAACATTTGCTTGGTACTGATCATATCAAATTATCTTCCGATCCACCCAGGGGTCGAACCTGGAACCTCCTGATTCGTAGTCAGACGCTCTGCCATTGAGCCAGCGGACCTTTGAAGCTGTTGTTGTATACCTGCCTTAAGACTTGCATTCATAAGGTGCGTCGCTGCGTCCTCATTTGTGTTAGGTCTCTTCTCTAGACTTTCGCAGCATGATATTTGTGCACGGTTAGTTGTTGGATGTTGCATGTTTGTAAATTTTCTACGTTATCCTAAATTTTGATACAGCGAAGATAAAAACGGGTTCTGTAAAGGAGCAGAGAAGGACGAAAGAAAAGGATGCCCTGCATGCTAAGAAATGCCCCAAGCTGATGCAAAAGTAAAATCCTGTTTTTCCTTCTGTTCTTCCTTGAATATCCAACTCTCTGTTCCCCTTGACAAAATCACCCGGGCTGCCATCAACCTATCCATCCTTCAGTCATCACTCATTCCCGGTCCCGGTCCCATTCCCATTTCCGTCACTCAATCCTTTCCCCTTTCCATGCTTTGGTTCTCTTCACGACCTCAAGATAACCAATTTACCTCCAGGTATCATTAATGGTCGCAGTAGATGCGCAGGTGCTCGCAACAGCATAGCTGCGGTTAGGATCGCTCTCCCACCTGACGGAGCCATCCGAGTTGACAACGACATACTTGTAGGCGAACGAGACACCCTGGGGCAGGGCGATGGTGGTGTACCAAGTCGGGTTGCTGCTAGTGTACTTGCTCGCGCTCAGAGTGACACCGGAAGCGGGGGCCCAGTTGCCGAGGGCAGCGATGCTGCCGACGAGCTTGACGGTCTGTCCGTAGCTGGTGGTGACCTTCTCGTTGAAGGTGACGAGAACCTCGTGGTCGGCGGGGCAGCCGGTCTGGGTGGGAGGGGTGATAGTGGTGCTGGCGGGCGTGAGGTTTGCGGGAAAGGACGTGGCGGTGGCGGTGGCGTAGGAGCCGGCGACGGTAGAGGCGGCGCAGGAGTCGGGGAGAGAGTTGGCGGAAGCAGCGCCCCACGAGGGAGGGACACGGCCGGCGCGGCGGTCGGCAGCGGAGAGGAAGGCGGCGTAGGACCAGGTCAAGTGGGTGGCGCCGATGGCGGCACCGGAGTTCTTGTCGAACTGCTCGGTGAGCGAGCCGTCGGAAGGAGTGTACTGGGCGACGACGTCGATGAAGCCGTCGGCGTAGGTCTGGACGGCGTTGATGATGGAGGTGTAGGTGGAAGAGGAGCTGGAGTAGGTGCCGGCGCTGACGGAGGAGACGAGGTCCTTGAAGAAGGCGAGGGAGGTAGCGGTGACCGTGATGGAACCCTGCTTCTTCCAGATGTAGATGGCATCGTAGAGTTGCTCGGCGGCGGCGAGAGTGGCGAGGTACCAGGGGTTGCCGGTGTAGTAAACATCCTCGGAGTAGCGACCAACGGCGGCGGCCTTACCGGCGGTGCGGCCATTGTTGACACCCCAGAAGCGCATAGAGTCGACAACGGACTTGTGGTTGGCAAGAGCACGGTCGCTGCAGGGCTGGAAGGTTTTGGCATCGCAACCGGCAGCGGGGTCAAAGTTGTGGATGGAAGTCAAGATGGAGTTGACGTCCTTGCCGCTGCGGTAGTTGACGAGGTTGGAGACGACATAGCCGTTATTGTTCCAGAAGCTCTGCTGGAAGCACAGGACCTGGGGAGCAACAGCGTCGCAGGCATTGCAAGAGCTGCCGACGGACTTGGCAAACGCAGAACCCTCCACGAGAGCACGGTGAGAGGCGGCAATGGTGAAGAAGGAAGAGCTGTTGACCTCCTCCCAAAGATCGAAACCAGTGTTGTTCCAGTACTGGGCAGCGTAGGCAAGATCGTTCTTCACAATGGGCCAGATGATGTTCTTGGCGGTATCAGCATAACCGTTGCTGACGAGCCACCTGCCGTAGCCGACGAGGGCGATGACACGAAGGGGAGGACCATCTCTCTGGGGACGGCCCCATTCACCGGTGAACTGCTTGAGGTCGACCATGAACTTGGGCTCACCAAGACCGGCACCGTTGGAGAGGGAACCGGACGGGTTGCTAACGCCCTGAAGCTTGGCTTGAGAAGCAGCATAAGCCTGGATGGTGCTCTGAAGAGTGGTGTTGTATTCGTCGGTGAACTTGTCGACGACAAGCTTCTGGACAAGGGCGGCGTCACGAGTCCAGGTGTACCAGTCTATTGACACTGTGAGCTATGCTGCCATGAGAGATGAGGGCACACGGGGCAATTTCCACTAACAGTCAGGATTCGACTTGGAAGGGGAGGCAACGACAACACCAGAGGCAGCACCGGAGACTCTGCATCCACCAGAGCCGATGTTGCACAGAAGATTCTTCAGTGCAATGGGGGTCTCCTGGTTGATGAAGGACTCAGCAGACCGCTTGATGATCTCGCTGTCCCTCTTCTCGCGAAGAGGATCGGGCAGACCGAGCACTGCCTGGAAGGCGGCGCCCACGACGAGGAGCGAAGAGACGAGATGCATGGCGAGGTAGGTCAGAGGGCTCGTGGTGAAGTCTGTTGCGTTGGAGACCAGGCTGGTGGTGAAATCATGGTTGGTGAGGAGGACTTGCTTGAGATTATATATTGTATCCATCTTGACTCGGCCGGGATGTTGATGGGCGTCGGCGATCTTGTCTGTCTCTCACGCTTGGCATTCCCCCTTTCGGGACACCCGGTACACTGACGTTCGTGTTGCGATCCGGCCGCCGTCGTGAACCTTGTCGTCCACTTTCCCGAGTGGATCTGCCCTGGTCGTGCAAGTTCCGCACCTCAACTCTCTCAGCTCTCAAGGGCCTCTGAGGAGGACCGGGGTCGATTCGTAGATGAGGTTGCACTCGGTGGTTAGAGATCGGGCCTTGCAGCAGTCGTCGATGGGTGGAATGGCGGTTATGGTGGTATGCTACCTGTAGGGTGGATTATGGAAGGAGAAGAGTTGGAGAAAGGGCCGAGAAGACGGTCTTGAGTTGTATCGGGGCATTGAGGCTCGGTCCTTTTGACTCTTTTGGATCTTTGCTGTGTCTTCTTGGTTTGCCCTAGTCACTGGTCACGTCACGATCCTCTCTCTCTTCCTATGCAGCGGCAGTCCCACTGAGCTATCTGCAGGAACGTTTGTCTCCCGCCGAGCTCTCCCTTGCTTGGTATTCGACCAGTTCGACTCATTGGAGCAGATCGATGATAAGCTCTTTGGGTGTAAGAGGACGTGCGGTGCTATGGTTGGTCTATACAGAGAGCGGTATGCTCAAAGTAGCGGTACCATACCAGAGGAGAGCGGCTGACCTGGTGTGGATGGCGGAGATTGGCCAGGATTGGACCCAAGATGGAGAGAGTTAGAGCTTCAAAAGCCACTCCCCCAAAGGGAAGCCATCCATCCGGCAGTGACCCAAGCAGTAAAGAAAGGCCGATATCTTGCCGCGGGCGTTTTCTACTGTCACATCTTCAAAAGGGTGACTGTCATAGGTAGGTCGTCAGTGTCACTGTCGTGAAAATGATGTCGGTGTGTTCACTTCAGCATGAAATATCCTGTGAAATCTGCAAGACGGCGCACTGCAGCTTGGAATCTCTATTGGAAATCGGCGGGTGTGGGGTAAGCGAGTTACTCGTCGGTTAGGTGCACGCACAGGCCACCCTCTGGGCGCCTCGTGGGGCCTCCTTTGGGGGCCCGCTTACAGCCAGCCAACCGACTCTCCTCGTCCCTTTGAGAATCAGGATTTTTACTTATAATATATAAGCTTTATAACAGTATGGAATCTTCAATTAATAACAACATTATCAAATTTTACTATATAATACTATAAATAACATTAATCTATCTTTCTTGTTAAAGTTTCTCTTCTATATATTTTTTTACTATACTTGTATTTAATCCAAAAGTTACATCGCGCGCTTTTTTTGTAAGTTAGACTGCTATAATTACTAAATTCACTATTATACGCTCAAAGACTAATATTAAAGCTAGAAACTATAGTAAAATTATATATAGAGTTATTAACAAGCGATTTAACGTTAGTAAAACCATTATTAAAAAGTATATAATACTTATTGAGGGTAATAAAGCTCTACTAACTAGTATAAGTACCTACCGGCCTCTAGCCTTAATTGAAAAATAAAAGAAGCTTTAAATATTATAATTCAAATTACTAGCTGTAGCTACTTTTCCTTTAATAAGGAATCTCTTATTAAATTAATATATTAGTTACAAGCTTATTAATTAGTTCCCTCTTCTATGAAGCTATATGGAATATAACCTATAAATTAGCATAAAAATACTTAAAGTTCAAATTTGAAGTAAGTAATTTGAAAACGAAAAAAAAACATATATATATAAAGGTTATTTTGAATTTTTTGAAGATTAATCTAAAAAAGGTCAAAGTTATTTATAAAATTCCTTAAATGAAAGAGGAGAATATTTGAAATATAAATAAATTTCCTCTTTAAATAAGGAAAATTAAAAAATTGATAAAAATATAAAAGCTTCCTTAGCAATATAATTTCTTATACTAATCCATATTACAATAGGTATAACTTCTAAAGAATGGAATTTATATACAAAGGGTAGTTTTTAGCTTTGCGGATAAAGAGAGTTTAATGGTTATCGATATTATATTAACTGTAACTTAAAAATTATCTTGCTTTTCTAATATTTAGAGTATAAATTATAGTGAATGGGAATGAAGATTTGTTATATACAATTGATATTAGTTATATATACTTTAGTTTGTATATAAGTATAAGACAATATATAAGTCAGCTATAAAATAGACCCAGATATTATTATTACAATTACGGCAATTGATTATAATAAAATATATCAAGCCTTATAATAAATACACTACTTAAATAAATACTCTTTCAAATTATCCCTCTCTAATATCGAACATGTATATTATAGATATATAGATTACATAGACCTATGAAGTGCCCAGCTATGTAACTGAGCTATTCACATAGTCACATGTACAAAAGCAGTTGGCTGGGTAAGTCGCGCTATGACGCAACTTCCAGTGACACAGTCAGAGATCCACTGGTGGATCACTGATAAGATAAGAGCTTGTATAAGTAGCTTGTCCTATGGGCAAGCCTTTGGCATCATCTTTCACAACGCTTTCAAATACCACATATCGTATTTGCGGAGCAACCCAGGTTACCTGTCTTACCCTCCTTCAATAACTATATTATTAGTAAGTAGTTTAAAATATTAATTAACCATTCTGTTCCTTTCAAAACATTAGAGTAATTTAGTAGCAAAATTATGGTAATTAATCTTTTTCTAAAACTGAAAGTATATGAAATATTATTTATAAATGGATTTAAAACCTATAAAGATTTATATGTCTTACAGTATTATATTACATTTAATATAATACTTTATACCTTACTCTTCTACACTAACTATAATTTACAACCTTTAAATATAAGAGTTAAGTAAGTAATCAAAAAAGCTTATCAGAAGATTTTAGCAAACGAAATTACAAGCGGAACTATTACTATTAACTATATAGTTTTTCTAAATAATTAAAGGAGAGTTAAAGAAGTTGGGTTTATATACAGTAATAGTTATAAAGAGTATAAGAAGATAGGTCTCTAGCTGTTGAAATTTAGTAAGTTTGCTATAGTTAGTTATATTTATATACAAATCTTTAATAATATAAGTAATAATAATATGACAGGCTGGAGTGCATATGCCCAGACGGCCAAACCTACAAAAGATCGGACGATGTTCTGCTTGCAAGGCAGAACTCGGAATGCACACTATATAGCCAATGTCAACCTGTGACAAATAAACATTTTAGTTAATTAACTATGTATATTTATACGAATATAATAAGAACCTTCATTTTTTAAGTCCTTTCAAGCTATTATTCTCTATAAAGTACTACGTATATTTCAATCTTCTACTATTTGTGACGGCTGGCACCATCTGGGCTGTTACATGCCTACCATCAAGGTTTCCATTCACATGGGTCTTATTCAATCGGTTCATTCCATTCACGAGTTTGGGTGTCACTGGTTGTCACCTGTGGTCTGGGTATAAAGCCCAGCTCTGGCATCGAGCCTTCTCTTTTGGGATTTCTTCTCTCTTCAGCTTCTTATTCTTAGTCTAAGTTAATCAAATTGTACACAACGTGCCCTCTGGTTACTTTGTAGCACTATTTAAAAGAGATTAAATATTATAAGTTTCTTGCTTAAAAATAATATTAATAATACTGAAATTACTTCAAACATTGCGATTAATGGATAAAAGTTATTATTTAATCAGTAAGAACTTTATAGACGTTGTATTAATGTAGAATTTTAAAAATAGAACTTCTGCAAGTACGTTGCTATTAGCGATAAAGCCTATACGAAGGAGGTACTGGATACCAAAGTAGTTGCGAAAAGAATCGTTAATATAAAAAAGAGTATAAAAGAAATATGATAAACTAGTTTCGCTTTTATTAAAAAGGTTACTATCGAGAAAAATCTTGGTCTCAAATAGTAGCTACTACGTAAAAGTAAAATAAAAAAAAGATTATACCTAATAATACTGTCATTCTTAACAAAAATAGTTTTATTTATGTTACAATAAATAACTTTAAATATAATAGAATTTTAGAAAGAAAAGAGGAGTAGAACAAAGGTATAACTAATAACGCTCGCTACGATTTTATAATTAACTAGTAGTAGGACTATTCTTACTATATCTTAGACATGAGAGTTTGAAGAGAATAAGCGGTTTTAAACAAATAAGTAAAGCAATTTACCCTGCTATAAAGAAGAACTTTATACTCTTTGACATATATAGTAAAAAGAAGAGTAGGAAAATCCGCAAAGGAAATTCGTCGCTAGTAGAAATTATCTCAAGTGACAAAACTATTCTCTTTAATAAATTTCCTACTATACTATAATATATTTATTTTGTTGTATTATTATTACAATTTCCTCCCTTATTAATATCCTATCTCTTTATGAAAAAGGCTTAATTATGACAGGATAGGATGCATATGCCCAGACGGCCAAACCTACAAAAGATAGGACAATGTTCTGCTTGCAAGGCAGAACTCGGAATGCACACTATATAGCTAATGTCAACCTGTGACACTACCTCCCCTTAACGCGAAGTTATCTTTCGATAATCTTTAAGATAAGGCCCCGGCCCCGGCCTCATTTCCGAGGGCGACAATGTCGCGGAGGATTTATCGCAATGCGACGGCTTATATAACACTAACTGAAAATGCAACTTCCCGCTAAGTTGGACATTTTCCAATAGGCCGATATGTGGCATTTTGGTACTCTTCGATTTGCATCCATGGTCCTCAATTGTCATTGCATTCTTAGAAGCTGCGCTCGACTAAGTGCCGACAAGAGTATCCCAAAATCGCCCTCGAAATTGCCACGGTCGGGAATCGAACCGACCGTTTAAGCAGAACATACTATGACAGGCTAGGGTGCATATGCCCAGACAGCCAAACTTACAAAAGATAGGACGATGTTCTGCTTGTAAGGCAGAACTTGAAATGCACACTATATAGCCAATGTCAACCTGTGACATTAATAGAATTTAAGAAGGAAAAGAAGGAAATTATAAATAGAAAGAAGGAAAAGGAAAAAGCTACA